TATATATACACACACACACACACACACACACACACACACACACACACACACACCTTTATTTATTTATTTATTTATTCCGGAATTTTCAGAAAAGTCCACTTTCATTTCTGAGAATACTAAGGCTGAATAAAAATTATTATTTTCATGAAATTTGGGGGGTTGACTTCCCCTTTAAATAAAAAAATGTAAGTCAAAGTACAATTAAGTTGCATGTTTTTTTTTTTTACCCATATAAGTTCAAGATGTATGTGATATCATGATTAAACCTGTGATTTTATTCAAATAAAGTCGTCGATGTTAAGAGTTGACACAAAAGGAGACTTATCGTGTCTGTTTACCAATGGATGGAATAAAAATTAAAACTCGTCAGAAAAATGAATCCTCAAAGACAATGAGTGTATTTTTAATAATTTTTGTTTTGTTTTGTTTGTTTTTTTAAAGGAAACTTTGCTTCCAAACGTGGCGACATACCGTTGAAGCTTTCCTTGGGAGGTCACAGTCAAAGACTGCTGCTGATGCGAGAAATAAGGTGGGGAGGGCGTGGTTCGATTACAATCAAAGGGTGTCGCGGATGGGCGGAGCTATAGTTCTCGCCGGGCGGTGTCTGAAGAAAACCAAGAGCTTCCCGACTCAGACACAACGAGGACTTGGCTTCCAGAGGGGAATTCGATTTTACTCAATCACTTGGTGGACTTCAGGTAGGGGCTGAAGCTTTCTCCTCCAACCATTCATGCCTGTGATATGACACGTTGCACCTCTTTATTTTACAGTCCAGCCCAGGGTGATGCAAAACCAAAGCGGTATTTAATTATACATTGTTTGTTGGTTATGTGTTCACTTCAACCACTATACATGTTGTCTGCCTCGAATTTATGATTTGTAATTTTACACACTCGTACCGTGCAAAATAGATGAGCTCAATCACAGCGTTTAATCTGTATTCTAAGGTACAGTACATTATAAGAGTATTTTCACTGAATCGTACGCTGATAAACTGTTTTGTCATCGTCGACGTGTGTGCGAGTGCGTGAGAATGTGTGTACTGTACCTGTATCCGGATGAAATTGGAGTTACTGCATATGCATTGTGTGATGGAGACAATTTGAGAACATGAAAAACATGAGTTAGGTCCATGTGCTAATTTGACTTTATGACGTTTTAGCAACTGGAGGAAAAATCCATATTATTAAAAATATCAAAGTCATTTTATTTAAATGCAGAGGGCAAAAAAAAAAAAAAACCTTGAAAATGTGTTCCTCCTGAAGCAGTGCCATCTGGTGGAAGTAAAAACACTTAGAGACCGAAATGTAATCGTCACAACCTGGGATAGGCTTCACCCGAGAACCTGAAGAGGACAAGTGGGATAGAAGCTTTGGAGTGCAACTATTTTGCAGACACACCATGCTCACATCTATGCCAATCTACCTAAATCTACCCACTGTTTCCTTTCCTATGGCCTTTTTGTCAGGGGTCACAATGTCACAGCAGATAAGCCCTGAGGAAATGGAGGAGATCAGAGAGGGCTTCCAGAAAGTAGGTGAGTAAATCATTTAGTAGGTAAGTAGGAATTGCATGCATTCAGACTAACAAGGCAAAGGTGGAAGACAAGACATCAAGGACAAGGACAGACTGGCTCCAGAGGAGCTTGAGTCACAGATTGTTGCAGCCGTAAATTTTAGGTTAGCCAATGACCAAACACCTACAGTACAAGTCTATGATGATATGTCAGGAGCAGGTTTGCACATTTCGAGGATGCAAAATAGTTTGAGGGACGCTCAGTCAGATTAGAAGAGAGCATTTGTGAACAGCAGTTTTTAAGTCTTGCCGTGGATTCTCAATGCAATTTAAGTCTGGGCTTTGACCAAATATGAACTGAATTTTAAACTCAAACGTTTTTCCTTCACTGTCCCTGCTGAAGAAAAGTATGATGCGGTCACCGTCATGTTTCACAGTGGTGCATTCAGGAAAATGTGCAGTATTCATTTTGTGCCAGACATTGCATCTTTCATTGAGGCTACCATCTTCCATTTTGTTCTCATCTGTCAACAACTAGATTTGTGGAACACATGACATCAGATGTGAGATTAGTGCAGACGATAGCAGCAGAATATGTACAAAAAGCTACTCAGTAGCAGGTTTTGATACATTATGCCAGCGTGGATAAAATAGAATGATTATTGTCCTGGTTCAGGAAGGGAATGCAGACTCTCTGGCAAAGCCTCAACTCAAGGTTATTTAACCTCAGTAGTCAAAACTCCATACAAAAAAAAAAATACATTTTGAAAATATAGAGTCAAACTTCCCCCCACAAAATAAAAAAAAAGAAAGCCAAGAACAAAAGTGTCTGAATGCATTTTCATTCATGCTTTCTCTTCTCACTATCTACTTCATCCGCTGTCTATAGATGTGGACGGCAATGGGTACATCTGCGTCAAGGAGCTTGGTGATCTCTTCCGTGAGGTCAATTGTCCCTTACCTGGTTACCAGATTCGTGAGCTCATCCAGAAACTTGACAGAGACAAAGACAGCCACATCAGCCTTGAAGAGTTCGCCGCTGTAGGTAACACTAACTAACTAACTAACTAACTGAATGAGGAAATCAGCCACGCAACAAAAAGCATACAACACTCTTCACAATCATTTTACAATATATTGTAAAGCTGCCTTCCAAATGTTCCGTTGTCAATGAACGTTGCTGCATAATGGCGAATTATCTAAAGAGAAGAGTCAAGTTTTATTTTGGTACTTGTGTGTTTTTGTGGATTTGTTCAGATTTTTAAGGATATGAAGGACGACCGTATCGCCAAAGGGTTCAGAAAGGCTCTCAACAAGAAGGAAGGTATTGTTGCCATCGGGGGCACCAGTGAAATCTCAAGTGAAGGAACTCAACATTCAATCTCTGGTAAGAATTGAAAAAAGTCTTTTGCACAAACATTTAGCTGTCCAAAATGAAAAACTTTCCTTGACAACCATCAAGGGCGACATGGTCTTCGACTTGTTAGCACAGGGTTTGATTCCGGCTCCGGCCTTCCTGTATGGAGTTTTCATGCTCTCCCCGTGCCTACGTGGGTTCTCTCCAGATACTCGGGTTTCCTCTCACATTCCAAAAACATGCACGACAGGTTGATTGAACACTCGCAATTGTCCCATGGTGTGATTTTGAACGCGAATGGTTGCTCGGCTATGTGTGCCCTGTGATTGACTGGCAACCAGGTGAAAGGGTGTACCCTGCCTAATGCCCGAAGACTGCTGGCATAAGCTCCAGCACGCCCCGCGACCCTTGTGAGGATAAGTGGATTAGAAAATAGACAGATGCATGGATGGACAACTGGAGAAAAATCAGTCCTTATTTCCTTGTCATATAAAAGTACTGGTAATACAAAACTATTGTCAGACTGATGTGGGGTTTTTTGGAATGTGGGAGGAAACCAGAGTACCCGAAGAAACCCCACATAGGCACGGGGAGAACATGCAAACTCCACACTGGAAGGCTGGAGCCGGAATCGAACCCTGCACCTCTGCGGTGGACGTGATAACCAGTCGCCCACCGGGCCGCCCTCATATATGATTATTCATACAAAAACAAATTCCTCACTTTGTCGTCAATTGTACTCAAAGTGTTTTGAAATCTGACTGGCATTTGTTTGAGTCTGCCTAGACTCTAGAGGAAATGCAAGAACTGGATGGCACTCAATTTCTTGAATTTCAATGAAAATAAAACAGAAGTGATGTGTTTGGTCTCTGTGGCCCTTGTACATCCCATCCTGCAGACTTGGGACCCCTGGCTCTTTATCTGAAGCCAACAGACTCGAACTTGGGTCTTAAACTGGACAGTGATTTTAAATTGCACTGGCAAATTTGTGCTGTTGTTGAATCCATCTTCTTTCATCTTCGGCAGCTGGGTATGGCGATCCATCTCCTTTCTCAACAGCACTTTGGCACAGAAATTCATGCCTTTGTCATATCTCAACTGGATTACTGTAATGCACTTTACTTTGGAGTCAGCCAATGCTCCATTGAGCGTCTCCAGTTGTTCCAAAATGCTGCTGCTCACCTCTTGAGTGGTACTCGTAGGAGGGAGCACATAACTCCTACTCTGGCATCCCTTCACCGGCCCCCTATACATTTTAGGGTCCTATGTAAGAATCTTGTATATACTGTATATTGTTTACATTTTTAAATGGCCTCGCTCCACTTTACCTCTCTGAGCTCCTCCGCCCCTATGGACCTGCCTGGTGCCTCAGGTCTGCAGACCAGACAGTATTAGAAGTACCGAGAACTAAGCGGATGCTCAGAGGGGATCGACCCTTTTCTGTTGCTGGTCCCTCTCTTTGGAATGACCTCCCACTGAACGTTAGATAGGCCCCCTCGCTGCTCATCTTTCAAACTTATATTAAAATTAATTTTTATTTTTTGGCCTTTGACTCTGCATTAGACTTGATTTTTAGGTTTACTGTTTTTGTGCTTTCTATTGTCGTCATTATAAATTTATTGTTTTATTTGTTGTTGTTTGAATTATTTTGCTCGATGTACAGCACTTTGTATACAGTACAGCGGTAGATGTTTTAAAGTGCTATATAAATACAATTAAGTTGAGCGAGCCCCCCGCATTCTCCTCCTCCCCCTCCTCCTCAAAACCGACATGTAGGAATGTCTGCGCATTCCCTGATAAGGTTTGGTGAAAAATTAACCACAATGGAAAGTCCAATACAGCACCCATACAAAAAACTGGCGTGGGTGCTGTCGATTCAAGTGACACTCCCTAAAAAACGCTTTCTAGCATGATGCTTAACCCACGAGGTTTTTTAATAATGGAGTCTGTGGTTTCACAGCCTTGTCTAGCTATTTACTAACAGTCACTAAGTTGCCATGTTTAGTGGAGAGAGACGGGGAAGATGTACACAGACACCTGCAGACTGAGTTCACGAGTTTTAGCTCATTGAAAAGCCTAATTATGTTCATGTGTAAAAACAGTGTCTCCACAAACACATTTTGCAGTAGAATGCCAATATTTTCTAATTCCAGCATCCTGCTCAAAACTCTGTTCTTGTGTCAAAAAAAGCACACTCTACTCAAGTCTATGAGGATGCCATCATTTACACTTAAACAGTTGAGGTTTACAAATTCGCCATGTCTTCCAGAACAGGAGCGCTTTGCCTTTGCAAACTACATCAACTCTATTTTGGAGAAGGATCCAGACTGCAAACACGTGCTGCCCATCAACCCTGACACCGGAGCTCTCTTCAAAGCGCTGGCAGACGGCATTGTACTTTGGTACATTTTTAATGGACATTTATGTATAGCAGCATATGTATGCATTATAGTCATCACATAAATACTTCATGGCTAAATGCCTGATGAGAAAAAGTCATGTGCAAAGTCATTCCCACCACCAAAAGTGGTCAAGGAGACTATTTAGCCCTTTGGTGGTTAACTGCCGGAGTCAAAATGCAGATTTTGATGATTTTTGGTGTAGGCTTTTTGGTTTGACACAAGAAGAACTTGATTCACTTTGGATCAGGGAATGCTAAGAAACGAATCAGTACTGTACTCTGCCAGCTATAGTTGCCTCAGGTCTATACATTTATGGACGTTTTTTTTCTATGTACAAGCTTTGCATTGTTCTTTTGTTCTATTGACTGTAGTCTTGACTCAGTCTTAACTTGGAGCCCTCAAACAATATAGAATATCATATTGGACCTGTGATTTGTTTGTGCAGCAAACTCATCAACCAATCTGTTCCTGAGACCATTGATGAGCGAACCATTAATACAAAGAAACTCACTGCCTTCACTACACAGGTGGGGTGCTTGTTTTGAATTTGTTATGTTTATAATAGCATTAATGCACCATTACCATTGTGTTGGGAACTGAGCTATTTACAAAGGTATCATGCACATGAGAAAGCAGATTTGGTAAACTTAGTGAGCAGGTGTAGGTGTGCAAATCATGCACCGATATCGTAAATCTCCGTCATAAAGTATACACACACTGTGTCTTAAACCTAAATTGCTCTAATGCGTGCTATTTGGCGTGTCCACATTAGATTCATTCCATCCGTTAATTTTCTGGATAGGCAGGATACATTCTTGAGGATTTGCTTCTCACATGTCACAGTGCTGACATGGTGAAACCACCATTCACACTTGGAAATACCTGATTTGGGACTGTTTTAGTAATGCACATCTCTTGAACATATGGAATTAGAATTTTCCAACACTAGCAGTTACAAGATTTAGAGCAGTGGTTAACCTTTTTAGAGGTACCGAACCCATTCAGTTAATATGCACATTCACCGAACCCTTCATGAGTGAAAAATAAATATATATATTTTTTACAAATTAAGAGAAAAGATATTAAAAAAAACGCATTTATTAAAAACAGAAAAAAGTTCATAACATTTCATGGGATAAGTATCCTTTTTTTTATTGAACAATGTACTAACAGTCACAAAAAAAAGCATTTATTAACAGAAAAAAGTTCATAACATTTCATGGGATAAGTATCCTTTTTTTTATTGAACGACGTACTATCACAGTCACCAAAAAAAAGCATTTATTAAAAACAGAAAAAAGTTAACATTTCAAGGGATAAGTATACTTTTTTTTTAATTGAACGACGTAATATCACAGACAGTCACACATTGACTACGAAGCGAACTAAATTTCCCTCAGCATTGATTGGACAAGCAATGTCATGTGATCATCTGCAGCCAGTGATGGCCAAGCGGGCGTGTCATAACTAATTTAACATGTTGAGTCGCGTGTGTCTTACCCTCCACGGCAGAGGCTCTGTCGAACCCCGGAGACCGACTTACCGAACCCCTGGGGTTCGATCGAACCCAGGTTAAGAGCCTCTGATTTAGAGCAACATGTGCAATGATGTGCTGTGTCATTCAAATATGGTTGCCGATTTGCTGCAAAACTCATTGGCACTGATAATCATATTTTCTTGTGCAATTCAAAATATTTTCTCACTTTCTGGAATTGTGTTGCTCGCAAACAGGAGAATCTCAATTTGGCTCTGAACTCAGCCTCGGCTATTGGCTGCCAAGTCGTCAACATTGGAGCTCAAGATCTGAAAGAGGGAAAACCTCATCTGGTCCTTGGACTCCTCTGGCAAATCATTAAGATCGGACTTTTTGCAGATATTGAGCTGAGCCGTAATGAAGGTACCGATGCAAAGACATACCGTCCCACATACTCCATCAGTGGATTGAAATTCTAAAGCACACAAAACCAAGAGCCATCCTCTGATAAGGAAAATTAGTGTCTAACAATGCTCACAGTTGATTTAAACATCGTCACGCTTCTTATCTTACAGCGATTGCGGCGCTGCTGGAGGAAGGGGAGAGTTTGGAGGAGTTGATGAAACTCAGCCCAGAGGAGTTGTTGCTGCGCTGGGCCAATTTCCACTTGAAGAAAGTTGGCATGACCCTGACAAACTTTTCAGGCGATATTAAGGTCAGATAACATTGAAAGTATGCAAGATTTAGCACTGCAGTTGTTTAAAGATTGTGCGTAAATTCCGTGCGTTGCCTTGGGCATTCTCACGAGAGCACTGACCTCCGCCAAGGCTGAACAATCCTGCATGTTTCATTTTGTAATCTTGAGTCATGCCAGACAGTAGAACTTCATATTACCGGTAATTTGGGGCTTTCAATGCTTAATTTGAACCTTTTTCTGTTCCTGTGTATAGGACTCCAAGGCTTATTTCCACCTACTGGAGCAGATCGCACCAGATGGCAGCAAAGAGGGCGTTGATCGAGTTGAAATCGATATGGTTGGACTTTATGTAAGATGAAAAAGCTCTATTGTCTGCAAAACGTACTTTTTCTAATAGACTACGTTATTGCGTCACAGTTAAACAAAAATGATGTGAAGAATGTTGTTAAAAAATGCCGCAATCATCTGAAAATGGTTCTTTTTAGAAGATGTTCAAAAACATTTACGGTGTTCGTATATTAATGTCATACATACATTGGGCTCTGCTTTGATGGCTGTCATAAATCCTATACGGTGCCTGGATGTGGCAGGTTAGATCCAATGTTGGTAATTTCGCAAACAAGCACTGGTGAGTTCAGATCTGCGAGAGAGAGGACTGCGTCGCTGTGGACGTGGTCACAGCCAAAGCGGCTCCTTTCATTCCCTTTGTGCTAGTCAGACACTAGAGTCTCTTCTTTTGAAAAAAAGAACCTATTGTCTGTCTCTTGACAAGCCCTACATGTGTGTCACCAGGAGAAAGATCTTGCGAAGAGAGCAGAGCTCATGCTGCAACAAGCCGATCGTCTTGGCTGTCGACAGTTTGTGACAGCGACTGATGTCGTATCTGGAAACTCAAAGCTCAACATGGCCTTTGTGGCCACACTCTTTAACAAACACCCGGCTCTGACTAAACCGGAGAACCAAGACTGGAATCTTGAGAGTGAGACTCATTCAGCAACAGTGCTTCACATTCACACATATGAACATCCATTCATTTTCTGATCCGCTTATCCTCTCGAGGGAAGTGGGCGTGCTGGAGCCTATCCCAGCCGTCTCCGGACAGAGGGCGGGGTACACCCTGAACCGGTTACCAGCTAATCATTACTTTGCAGGAGATAGCTGGAAATTCTGAAGTTGTGTATTATAATTGTTTCCTTACTTTGGGAATTTGCAAGGAGAAAGCACATCTACGCTCTCACACTCAGGCATTTTGACTTTCCAATTCATAATGCATGGGATATATGGGCTTGCCAGGGTCGACGTAAAAATCAATTGATGGATTAAGAATTCGGGCTGTTGTCTGAAATTGCTTATTAATGAATTCATCCTGAAATAACTGAAGCAGGGTGACACGGTGGGCAACTGGTTATCACACCGGCCTCACAGTGTAGAGGTCTAGGGTTTCATGCTGGGTCCGGCCTACCTGTGTGGCATTTGCATCTTCTCCCCGTGCCTGTGTGGGTTTTCTCTGGGTACTCTGGTTTCATCCCACATTCCAAAAACATGTGAGGCAGGTCAATGGAACGCTCTAAAATGTCCCTATGTGTGAGTGTGAGCGTGGATGGTTGTTCGTCTATGTGTGCCCTGCGATTGGTTGGCAACCAGTTCAGGGTGTACCCTGCCTATTGCCCAAAGACAGCTGGGATAGGGTCCAGCACGCCCGCGACACTTGTGAGGTTAAGTGGATCAGAAAATGGATGGATGGATGGATGGACTACTGTCCTTATTTCCTTGTCATATAAAAGTAATACAAAACTAGTGTCGGACAGATATGGATTTTTTTCCTTTCGGCTGAGTCTGTTAGTTAGCAGTATGAAATTCTGACAATTAATTGGACGCTGAATTTAAACATAATATAATGAATAAAATAACTTCTCTTTTTTTTGGCCTTTAACAATTATAATACTAAAGATATTTCAGGCCAAACATCTGACTGTTTTATAATAGTTTCTACTTTGGTACTTAACTTCATGACTAAGAGGTTTTTGTTTCTCGTCTTGATCTTTGTCTCGTGTTAATGTGCGATAAATTAAAATCAAATCAGGCAAATTTCTGGGCCGATTTTAAAAGACCTTATATCAGCTGATTATATCGGCCGAATGATTTAGTCAGGACTCTACTCAAAATGTCATATCAGTACTTGGTAAACCAAGACTTACCTGCATGTCCAGCTTGCCCTAAGAAGTTTCCCCTCTCCTTTTCTTTTTCTTTCTCTTCTACTTCCAAGGTGAGACCAGAGAGGAGAGAACATTCAGGAACTGGATGAACTCTCTGGGAGTCAGTCCACGTGTTCACCACATCTATGGGTCAGTTTGTCCGCATGTTGGAGCAGTCACTTTGGCTCTCTGTTGCTGTACTGACACATGGATCGGTAACTTTTGGGTGTTTGTGATTTAATACAGCGATCTGCAGGATGCCATGGCTATTCTGCAACTATATGAAAAAAGTAAGGTGCCGGTGGACTGGGACAACAGAGTCAACATGCCTCCATTCAAGGCAGTAGGGGGAGGCCATCTGAAAAAGGTTAAATTGCGTCGTGTTATACATTGTTACGAGTGTCCATACATTGGAGGGGGAAAAAAATTACGTTTGTGTGTGTTTGTCTGTGGCAGATAGAAAACTGTAATTATGCTGTGGAGCTGGGAAAGAAGCAAGCTGGTTTCTCGCTCGTGGGAATTGCAGGACAGGACCTCTATGATGGAAATGCGACTCTCACTCTCGCACTGGTGTGGCAGCTGATGAGAAGGTGATTTAAAAGTTCAACTTCATGAGACCCCTCATGTGCAAGAATAGATCAAGTGGAGTCGTTCAATCGAAGTCTAAATTAAATCACATTTCATTGCCTGACAAATGCCATTTTTGGTCCTGATGAAGGTACACGTTAAATTTGCTCGAAGACCTTGGGGATGGAGCAGTTGCAGGAGAGGATTTAATAATCACATGGGTGAACAAAACTTTGTCTGAAGCCGGCAAGACTTCTTCTATCAAAAGCTTCAAGGTAATGAGATTTTTATGGGTGAGCCCGATTTACCAATTTTTTCTTGGTGTACTGTAAAATAAATTGTTGGATGATACGATGGTATTTTAAAAGCCCACTGCGTATGTTTTCATCTTGAAATCTTACAATTATTTATCAACAAAGGGCTATGCTCATCTTGTAAATATTTTATTGCTTTTGCTGTCCAGGACAGGTCACTCAACACGAGTATTCCAGTTTTGGACCTAATTGATGCCATCCAACCGGGGAGTGTGAACTTCGAACTGGTTCAAAAAGACAATCTGACAGATGAGGACAAACTCAAGAATGCCAAGTAAAGACCCACGTTTTGAATAACAGATCATTTGAGGGGATTTTATGCAATTATACTGTAACACCTGTCATTATAGTTTTACCACCCATTCATGATACATCATTTTCCAGCCTGACGTTAATTCTGACCTTATCCTGTACCAGGTATGCCATTTCCATGGCAAGAAAGATTGGCGCCAAGGTCTATGCCCTGCCTGAGGACTTGGTAGAGGTCAACCCCAAAATGGTGATGACCATTTTTGCCTGCCTGATGGGAAGAGGCATGAAGAGGGTGTAAAGGAGAGAATGGATGACCATATCCAATTCTACCGACTGACTCTCTTTCCTGGTTGGACTGTGGACGTGTTGGTTCTCTCGAAACCAAATGGGTACATGGTCTCAATTTAGCAGCTTGGTGTTTCTTCATACAGTATATAAATCTTTATTTCAGGGGTAACATAATGGTACAGTTGTTTTCAAGGTGACAAATCTGCGGTAGGGTAGTCTACAGTTCTGTCCAGTGCATGCTGGGGAATGCTGCAAACTTAGTGGGAGTTTGGATACGCCTGGTTAGAAATAGAAATGAATCAAAGGCCTTGTTTGTTTTCATACATACTGTACTATTGTACATGGGAATCATTTAAAGCCTCTGTATGTAAGTTTTTACTTTATAGACAACCAAGTTAGGCCATGTTTTAATAAAACAGTTTAAAACAGCCCTTTCATGTGTCACGTAAGTAATGCCATACACTTTGTTGTTTGAACCAGTTATAGATGAAAGAGATGAAAATCAAAGTGTCCTTTCATCAGTGGATTGCAGATGTTATGCTCAAAATGTGCATAAGTCTGCTGCACCTAATAAGCAGAATACAGAAAATGAAATGACCGAGTTAAGACATGGGACTGGAACTTTGAAGTCCTGGTGGGAGGAATTAGCTATAAGTTTCGGTAAAATAAGGAACAAAAAATAAATCATTTAATACTCACCAGTCTGTCTTTGCTGAGAGTATAGACTTTGTATCGTTGCATCTGACCGGAATGAAATGAATACACTACAGTATTTCAGAAGTTCAATTCTACAAATAAATATATAAAACGCAGAGGAAATTTTTTTCCAGAATACAATTTGTATCATCTTTAGACACTTAGAACCAATAAAAATGAGTTTTAATTTAAAATAATTACTTGAAATATTTATTTTTTGTTACTTTATCCTCACCTGAAATAAATGACCGTATTTTCCGCATTGCTCTGATTTATTCCGATGATTTTACGCGAGGACGTTTCTCAGTACGACAGTGTACTACGGTAGTTCGCTAGGTGGCAGTAGTGTTACTTTTACAGTTGCCAGCTGCAACCAACCAACCAAAGAAATAGAAGAACGAGCCGCTGATTGGCTCTCACTCGTGACGTCACCAACAATCTGGCGGTGCTTTGAAACGGGTTTTTGGAAGGTTGGTCTAAGGACTGTTCACAGTGTGCAGGAGAAGATGAACGGAGCCATGGAGATAACGCCGCCGTCGAGCCGGGACACAGAACAGTGCGTTCCAATGCGCAAGCGACGAAGCACCGCTGCCAAGCGGCTGGAATACCGCAGCAGCCCCCTGAGGAGCCGTTCATGCGGGGGTGACGAGGTCAGGCTGTGGGGCCTGAAAGCCTGTGGATACCCGAACACGGATCTCTTAGCCACATGCTCCACGCCTCTCAAGAGACATTCCCGATTCTACGAGGACTCACCGGAGCGAGCGTCCCTCCAAACTCAATCCACGAAGACTCGGTGCAAAAATGTTAGGAGACGAAGACTTTTCGAGACGTCGCAGAAACTAACGGTTTGTATTGGCCGTTAACGCCATGTCAGTTGCAGTCTATAGTTTGGGATTGACGACTGTTGTACGTTGCAATCGATTTGGTTGTTGCTTTTGCATGCGAGTGTTGTTTTTCTTATTTCACGTTCGGGATTTTGAATGGGATTTTCAAAACCGACGGTTGGGAAAGGTCCTTTTGTGGGTGAAAAAAATGATAATGTATGTAAAATAGTTTCCCCCAGCATTTTCATTGATTTGTATTAATTCATATGATCATAATTAACTTATTCCCCACAAATGTAATGTTAAAATAACTACATGCCCAATGACAAATTATTAATTAAATAGTTTTGAGAAAAACGGCCATATCAACGCAGTACATTTTACAAGACTCCTGTTTGATGAGTCGGGTAAGTGGGAACCATTTTTTCTCGGCAATTCATTTTCAGTGGATCTCCCCATTATTTTTCCCATTTTAAATTCTATATCATATACAGCATTAAGTAAGGTCACTTTGGAATGTCTTTTTTTTTAAGTACCGTTTTATAGCAACCAACGTCTACTCTAGACTCATACGATATTTTTGACTAATGGAATGTTAAGGTTAGGATTAAACTAACGGACCCCTCACCTTTGAACATTAGTGTACAGCAGGGGGTACAGACCTCTTTGATAGTGAAAGCTACTTCTTGACTAATGATGATTGTGAAGGACTTGCAGTTTGATACACCATCGTGAAACAACAAATTAGTGTTACTAATATGTTGTTGGTGTTAATTATGTGAAGACGCTGATCATGATTTCTCACAATAATTAGGAACTGGCTAAATATCAATATGTAAAACTTTATTTCTATAATTTTTGCCAGTGTTTACCTTTTCAAATGAGCATTCTTACAAGATCACAATGTTCCATCACTGGTAAGCTACATTTAGAACAGGCCAGCTGGCTACTCATGTGGTCCTTGGAGGCTACCTGGTGCCCCAAGGCACTCATGTTGGATAGTGACCCCTGGTGTACAGTAATCTCTCCTTGATCATGAGAGTTTCATCAAAGGTCACATTAGGCAAACTCTTTTAAGAGTTTCATCAAAGGTCACATTAGACATCCTCTTTTGAAATAGTGACCCACATTTTTTATGCCATTATATATGTTTGAAGTTTCATGTTTTCTATTCATCAACAAGGAGTACAGAATATTGCTTACACGGACATATGAGAACGCACCTATTTCCTGGCTGAAGCATTGGCCACTGCGGTATACAATGACTGTCAGCTGAGGTTACCAGCAGTTGTGCCGAGAATATTTTGGATAGTGTATTTTGAGGTACTGTAATTTGTTACCTTTGTTTAATTCGGTGATGCAAAGACCACCAGCAGCTGTGTCTACTGTATCTTCTCTTTATCAAAAAACCATCAGATATGAAGTGTTGCTCAATGAAGCTCTGCTTATTACCTTTTGACTTTGACTGGCTGTATTCTGGCAGTGTAGTTGAAATGGAAGTTGAAAGTAATAGGTCAAGAAAATCGATGTGGAGCAAAATTCTGTTTGGCTTGACCAACCCACAGTCACTTTTTTTTTAAAACATTTGTTAAATTTCAAACTTGGTGAGTGGGCACGGACTCACGTGAGCCAACTATTTGTACTAAATAAATGTCATTGTGGGTGTTTGCACAGTGTGCGCTACCCCGAGCGAAGAACTCCAGCCTCACGTTATCCTGCAGGCGATCCCTATTCAAGAATGGCAAACCTTCAGCAAGGTCCAGCACAGAAGGCAACATCATCAGACCTCAGGTCAACTTGAATCCATTCAGTCCTGTCTCCCTCCTCGCCCTGTCTCCTACACTGCAAAAGAACCAGCGCAAGACAGCACACCTGTATGTATATGTTCTCGATATGTGCAGATGACTGCCCTTTGCCCCTTGTTTTCTCATTTTTCCCCCCCCCCCCCCCCCCCCAAAAAAAAAACTGTTTTTTTTCCCAGGTCTTATGGTGAAGACAAGAATACAAGTAATGCTAAAGGAGACCCTACGGTAATTATATACGATACGAAAACCTTTATTGTCTCACAATGGAGAAATTTGCATATCTCTGAAGGGGATGATTTTTGTTGTTGTTTTTACTTTCATAAATAAAGAAACTGGAGTTGTGACAGATTCACTTCTTATTTCCAATTATAGCAAAGCAGCCATTTATGGTGGGAACTGTATTTACTGTATTTTTTTTTTTAAAAGATCCAATATCATTCTCCCATATTGTACAAATCTTGATTAAAACATTACAAAAAATGTAACACGTACCAGTGCCTACCAGTTACAAATGATGTAATATAAAATTCATATAAGTTGTCTGGCATTATTGTGGGTATTTAATTTCAGCTACAGTTGCAGCAGTTAAATAAGAGCTTACTTTCCTTATAACTCCTTATATCTTACCTCATTGATGTTCTTCTCAGCACTGATTTTATGATATAAAGTAAGTACATGTTTTGTGCTCGTATCCTGCAGTTCATCCATATAAACGTGCGTCGGTTAGCCACATTAGCCCGCTAGCATTGGCCGCGAGCCATTTGTGGACTCGTGACACTTTTTCTGAGCACATGGTGGCACGTCATTGGCTATTTACATCCTGTGGAGTTGTGGCAAAGTGACTGTGGGAGGGTGCGGAACTTGTGTGAAAATGTCTGCTTTTAATCACGTCACTAAGTGTAATTGTTTTTTACCGCCACTCGATAATCATGACACTGTCTTAAGATCCTACATCCTTAGTGAATGCCAGTAGTCGGCATATGTGTTGGCAAGGCAACTTTATTTATATACCGCATTTCATACAAAAGGTATAACTCACTGTGCTTCAAATAATTAAGTAAAATATTTAAAAACAGTAACAAACAAGAGAGTTGAACATCAAAAAGCAAAGTAAAGACATTTAAAAGGAAAAACATTTACACTAGAGTATTGGAATGTTTAGAATGCTTTTTAAGAGGGGGTGGGTATTTTATAAGGGGGTGAAAAGTCACAGGAAATGACGGTAATCCCCCTTTGCTTGCCACTTTTAGAGGTTGACTGCAATAAGAAACGACGTGACGTCCCGCTACAACTCAGAGTTCTTTGAGCTGGAGACGATCGGCCATGGGCAGTTCTCTGCAGTGTTCAAATGTGCGAAAAGGCTGGATGGCTGCATCTATGCCATCAAGCGATCAAGTAAACCGCTTATGGGATCGGTAGATCAGTAAGTGGAGCATTTCATATGACAAATAATTGATATCATGAAGCTCAAAGTTTCCCATAAACAGTGAAAACATTTACAATTGTCTTTGTTCCTTCTATGCAGACAATACATCATGCGGGAAGTGTTTGCCCATGCCGTACTAGCCCGGCATCCCAACGTGGTGCAGTACTACTCGTCCTGGGTGGAGGATGACCACTTGCTCATTCAGAACGAGTACTGCGATGGCGGCACGCTGGCAGATGTCATTGAATGCCAATCTAAGCCTTTGTCGGAAGTGGCCCTCAAAGATGTGCTGCTGCAAATTGCGCGAGGGCTGGCGTGCATCCACTCAATGTCCCTGGTACACATGGACATCAAACCGAGTGAGTTTTAGTGGTTGTGCTTCAAAGAGATGCCGTGCAAAGTGGGAAACTAATCAAGTCTTGTTTTTGTTTCCAAGGCAACATCTTCATATCCAAGAAGTCTGGAAGCAGCTTTGATGAAGATGGCACGGACACCGGTGTTACTTACAAAATAGGTTTGGATTTATTTATTTATTTATTTTTACACTGACTCCGCCCATCCCCTTCCGCTGCTCGTTTCAACTGTGTCCTTGGTTTACATTTCAAAGTTAGGAACGACATGCACGTTAATAATACGGCAAGAATAGTTACCGCTGGACCCCCTTCACTTGATGAACATTGACATTTTATATTGAAACACATGTGTCCATCTTCCAGGTGACCTTGGTCATGTGACACAGGCAAACAGTCCTTACGTGGAAGAAGGTGACAGCAGATATCTGGCTAATGAAGTTCTACAAGAGGTTTGTCTCCCACCCTCCCCACGCGCACACCTGCCTCCCAACAAAAAAATAAATAAATCAGCATTTGAAAAATTCACACTAACATCTTCCTTGTGTTTACTTTTGCAGGACTACAGTAACTTGACAAAGGCCGACATTTTTGCTCTCGGTCTGACAGTTGTTAGCGCCTCGGGGGCAGAGGCTCTGCCCCCCAATGGACTTGGGTGGCACAAAATCCGACAAGGCGAGCTTCCCACCATCCCATGTGTGCTTGCATCAGAGTTTCTCAGTCTTCTTGAGGTGATTGTCCAGTATTTTTATACTGCCATAAGCCCAAAACATGTTGATTTGACATGGTTTATTTTTAAAATTTGGAACTTAATCCACTTACAAGAATGAAGGGGTAATGGTAATTACCATATTTTTCAGACTATCAATCGTTCGGGAGTATAAATTGCACCAGTCAAAAAATCCATCATGAAAAAGAAAAACTCAATTCAATTTTATTGATGAAACATACAAGTCTCCCCAGAGAATAAGTCTAATTTTGGGGGAAAATTTATTCCACAAAAAAATGAGACCAAGAATAGTGAGCTTGGACTCGCACCCAATATCGGCATTCCCATGACATATTCAGAAATACACTCTGAGGGCGCAATGCTTAACTCTGACCATTCGGAAATCTAGTGCGATGTTCAAATGTGCCCTTCAATTATTCAGAGTGACTCAACGGAATGGTGGCGGAGTCTTGCGGGCCAGCCAGTACAGATCGAAACAGTTCAAGCACAAGTTGCTGATTGGGTTTGTCACATAGCCTGCGTTAGGAAATTTTTGGAAACGGAGTACCAGTGCGCTCTGCCTCTCTGAACACGCACACTCTGAGTGGTGTTAAACCGTCAGAGGCAATTTCCCAACGCACCCCTTGTTTAGTGCGGCAAACGAGTTCTCATTGGACGGAACTTCTAACAATGGAAAAGTTTTCCTTTTTCGTTTAGAATGGCTTACTTTACCTAGAAGTGTGTGTTACATTGTGGCCAAAGATAGAATCCTGGTCAGTTATTGTGCATTCTGGTGCTGTAAATCTTTGTTGTGCCATAAGGAAGTCTGCTACTACTTCTGCTTCCATTTCTTCTTCTACTTGCTTTGGGCAGTTGGCAGATGGTTGTCAAACACTTTTGCTGCATTTCGTCACCTTTCCACCAGCGGTAATTAATCAACATGGTTAGGGACCGAGGATTCTGAGTCAGAGCTCTCATTTTACTATGTAAAAGTTGCACCTGAGTAAACCAAACTATGAAAAAAAAGTGCTACCTATAGTCCAAAAAAATACGTTAATTATGTTGTTATAGGAGAAAAATGCGTTTTTATTAATATATCCTGTGCCGATTTTGTTTTTCAGCTGATGATCAACCCTGACCCAACGAGACGGCCTTCGACCTCTGACATCATCAGGCACCCAGTAATCCAGACAGCAAACAGATTAATGTTGTAAATACAAATATCAGTAAAACTCTTGCATAAAATTTGGGTCGCATTTTTGCTTCTTACACATTTATCCAATTAAAAACAATTACCACCTTATTAGCACCAAAATAGATTTTTTTCCAAACTAACATATTTCTCTCCTTCCATTCATTTTCTGATCCACTTATCCTCACAATGGTTGCTGGGCATTCTGGAGCCTATCCCAGCTGTCTTCGGGCATTCGGCAGGGGACACCCTGAACTGGTTGCGAGCCAATCGCAGGGCACACAGATGAATAACCATCCGTGCTCACACTTACACCTAGGGACAATTTAGAGTTTTTCATTAACCTGCCATGCATGTTTTTGGAATGTGGGAGGAACCCGGAGAAAACCCGCGCAGGCACGGGAGAGCATGCTCCACACAGGAAAAGAACTAAACCAATAAATACCCCACACAACAAAATAACTACCGTATGTAAGCAGCACACTCTTAATTCAAAACCTACAGAGAGGAGGCACAATTCCACTGGAATACCGTTTCAACCCACTCACCTGTACATGATTTAATGTCATACAAAATCAAGATTCATATTTGCTCCTTTCATGTGGATGCAGAACCAAGTGCAAATTCTGAAATAACCATTTAAGGCAAAGGACTTAGAACAGAAGGCTTGGTCTATGTGTGTGCATAGTCACACGTATTCTCTGTAATCAGGAGACAAGACACGCTTGTGGTTGTGCGGCGGCCACTTCAAACGATGCTCTTGAATTCAGATGAGTCAAAACCAACACATGCACATACACACTATTTGCATTTTAAAAGATTCTTTTGTCTGAGCTTGAGTGTCATGTGATCATCCAAGAGATGTTAGACTTGCTCACCGTTTTTTAGCATTCGTCTTCACAATCAGTGCTGCCTCGATCCACATACGTATCGTGTGGATGGATGAAGATTTCTACATGAGCTAAACATTAAAATCAGGAAATTTACCAGGTGTGTTGAAACATTTTTTTTCTTCTTTTATCTGCCTTTCTTAAAATGAGCAAATATACAGCTTGTTGCTATGCCTTTTGGTTTCCACGGTTATGCATACCACCGGATGACCTTCCTATTCTTATTGTGGTTTTGCCATTCATGTGTGTATTGTTTACTGAAGTATGAATTTCCTTGAACCTACCTATTGTTGGTGTTTCTTCTATAATGTGTGTATGTTTATGGCTTATAAGAATTTGTGAATAGTCACACTTTTGTAGACAAGCTGAATGATAACAAACAACTCCTTTGACACAATGTAACCAGAGATGGGCATTTTACTCTATTTTGCCGGTCCGTCCTCCATCTGCGACCTGGGTACCCTTCCATCATCGTCCCTCCATCCTTATTCATGTAATAATCGTCGTTCGTCCTCATTCTTTTAAAACAATTCCGTCATAGTAAGTGGGGTACGCCATGACCTGGTTGCCAGCCAATCGCAGGGCACACTGGACGAACAATCATCCGCGCTCACAATGTCACCTAGGGATAATTTGGAGTGCCCAATCAACCTGCTGTGCACGTTTTTGGAACGTGGGAGGAAACCAGAGTACCTGGAGAAAACCCACGCAGGCATGCGGAGAACATGCAAACTCCACAAGGGAAGCCGGAATCAAACCCTGCACTGCTGCATTCTGAGGCCGCCCTGCTAACCAGTAGAGCACCTGGCCACCCATAATAAAAACTTGACTTTCTCTCTAGGTGAGCAGACACCGAGAGACATACAAAATCAACAAGCTTTCTTAACCGGCTGGATTGAATTGTTTCCAACTGTTTAAGTGTCAACCAAGATAGCATTTAGCTGCCATCACAACCACTATCTGTCACCAGACTGACTGGCGAAGTGTCAACTTTTTTGGACGGAGGATGTGCGCTCTCGTCTTGTCTGCTTGAAGCAAAGTGAAGTCACTCCCTCGCACATACAAACACGGTGAACACGCCCGAGACAAGCGGTGCATCACATTCGGTCTGAAGTACTGTATTGGCGGCCTACACACATAAGAGAGGCTGGGGATGCTTCTGTCAGTCGTTCGTGAAATGGGTGTCCATAAGTACATAACCAGCTGTTTAGGGATAATTAAAGGGATGAACGAAAACCCACTTTCGTCCTTGCTTAGTCCGTCCTTTAGAGAGAAAAAAATATATCTTTTTGTCGAACAAAACAGGTATCTCCAGGGACGGACGCTTCATTCCGTCCCAGGGATGGAATGCCCATCTCTGAACGTAACAACATGCCTTTGTGTGCAGCATGCCACGTCCAGTGCATGAGTCACAAAGGTTATCTGTGAAAACATGGACAGAGGAGGACAGTGACCAGGACAGCCCACTTAGCAGGTACACACACATTCCTGGCCACCTTGAATCAGGTTTGTGTTATTCAGGAAAAATTTGGCCCTTGACGAATACGGGATCTTAGCAGTCCTTAAATACTTAGCTAAATGGATGACCAAATTGGCAGCAAGTGTGCACGCTGGAGGAAAGGCCCTCCTCTGCCACCTGCTGGCGACACACAAGAACAGGATCATGACAAAAGTAGGCTCGACGCAAAATTACATTTTGATAACCATTCGCTGGTTGCCAGTACCCCCATCACACTTCAAATATGAGCATCAAGGTTGGGGGAAGACTCCAGACTGCATGCAAACACTCTTGGCTAATGCCACCCGCTCACCCAGGGATGCGATCAAATACCACTGAACAATCCAGCAGCAAATTGTCTGCAACTAGTGAGGCTGCAATTTCAAATGAGAAGTCAATGGCATCGCGTCAGCGCAGATGTTTAACGCCAATCGCGATGCCAGGTTGAATCACATTATCTTTTTCGTGATAATGACTACGGTTGCAGGGACCAAGTAAGATCTCGGAGCTTTTCAAGTTAGCAGCTGTTGGTTGATTTGGGGGGAAGATTCATAAGGGTCCCTTTTTGGCAGAAATATACTGCGACAACTAACTCTACCTGCAGCTTTGTGACTTCATTTGTATTTTGTAGAGGGCAGTCGATGTGTGATGACACTTCCTCAGAACTACAGAGAATGGCGGCCATTGACAGGAAAGATGTCACACCACAGAATTCCCTCCATGGCCAAGGTGCTCTCTCCAGGTATGACATCAATCGACGTTCAACAGTAGGGATGAATACGTTTTTAGTGTCTTAAAGTTAATGTGTGTCTTTGCTTATGATTTTTTTTAAGGATAGTGAACATGGTGATGACTCTCAGAGAATGGGCTCAAAAGAGCACGGCCGAGGAGAGAGAGCGACCTGATTCTTTTTTGGAGCGTTTCCGGGGCCCCGCTCACTTGGACGTCCATGCCCCGCCGAGCCGTTTTAGTCACAGTCACAATGGCTCCGATTCAGACAGTGAAATGAGACGCACAAAAAGGAAGTAAGGAAAAAAACATGGGTGTGTTTTCAGGGAATAGAATAAACACGAAGTTGATTCACTCTTCATTATTCTCCGTTTTAGGAGGAAGTGTAACAATGTCACCTTGTCACCGTCGGATGATGTGTATTACCACTGGCTGATGGTGATTGGTCCTGCTGTTTTTTATAACTGGACCCTATTAGTTGTCAGGTTGGAAACAAATTGAGTTTGTTTCTCCACTAATTGGCAAAGCTCACCATTGCAAATTTTTCTACAATCATCGATGGATTCGGGATCGCATCATCACTTAACGGTTGCCTGTTAGAAACATGCAAATGCATCTGGTTTTGCAGGGCCTGTTTTGACGAGCTGCAGACGAGGAACGTTTTGGTGTGGCTGGTCTTGGACTACATCTGCGACGGGGTCTACATCTTCGACATCGCTGTTCGTCTCCACACAGGTACTCAACATTCGATCGTAAAATCAAATGAGAAGTAGATTGATAAACTGCGGTAATGTCTGCAGATGATGACATCACAGACTATTTGAAATTTAACCCGAAAACATGGTAATAATATGCGTCCTTAGTCACATAAAACTGCAGTTTAAAACCAGTGCGATGCCTAAAGTGTCGAGTGTTGGATGTATGAGTGAGAAAAGGAAAACTATTTGAATGTTCCTCTGTTTAACAAATGATGTGATTAGAGATTCTTGGAGACTCTGCATGTCCCTCCCAGCTGAAGTCAGAGCAGGAGATGTTCGCTCCTCTACATCTAGACAGCCAGTGAATTAAGCTTGTGTAAATTGTTGTGGGAAGAGCGGCCTCCTCTTTCCCGCGTGTTCGTTGAATTTCGGACGAGGAGAATGTTGGTAATCCAAATAAAGGCTGGAGGCGATGTACAGTTACTTCGAAGGGTTTTAATTTATTTTCTGCAGTTTACGAATCTATTCGGGCTCCTGAGGGGTCCAGATTTGAATCAGGAAGCGTAGAAGAAACACATTCATGAGATTATATAGAGACAATATGATAATGAGAGGCGGTTAGGTACGCCTCTTATGCAAATCCCAGAAACAAAGAAAGTAACATGACATCTGACCCGGCGTGGCTGGAAGACGTTTGGAGTGGTGGGGTGAGACCAAACCACCACGACCCACCATTTGGTGTGATAGCAAGTTCCAGAACCCCCGCTATGCATACATCCTGAGATAAGAGGTCTTCCCAGGGGGGGGCCGTTAATCAACCAAGGAGGAAGAAGATAAACTTTAACACTACATACGTTGTTTTAAGTATGCAAACAGATGTTCAGGAAAGAGACTGAAGTCAATAGTACTCATAGCAAAGCGCAGTCCCTCAATAGCTGCAACACAGATACTTGAGATAACAGTTCCTCTTTTGATGTTGACATGTCCTCTGGAGGGGTCATAAAAGTAGTGGGGGTGAGGGGGTACCGAAGGTGATTGTAATCACAGTAAGCAGGAAATACCTTCAACAGCATTCTACATTGTTTCATTCAAATCCAGCTAACAGAGAGGAATCATATCTTAACAAAAGCCACCAGTGTTAGACAGAGTTTCACCACCACTTGTATTTTCATCTGTTAAGTCGGCATTTCATCACAGAGTCACCAAAATACACTAGACCAGTGGTTCTTAACCTGGGTTCGATCGAACCCCAGGGGATCGGTGAATCGGTCTCAAGGGTTCGACGGAGCCTCTGCCATGGAGGTTCAGACATACCTGACTCAACATGTCAATTAGTTATGACACGCCTGCTTGGCCATCACTGGCTACAGATGATCACATGACATTGCTTGTCCAATCAGTGCTGCGGGAAATTTTGTTCTCTCAGTAGTCAAGCGTGACTGTAATGATAGTACGTCGTAAAATTGAAAAAAACTACACTGATGCCATGTAATTTTATTTGCTTTCTTCTGGTTTTAATAAATGCGTTTTTATATCTTGAATTTGTAAAAAGTCATACTTTTGTTTTTCGCTAAGGAAGGGTCCGGTGAATGTGCATATGAACTGGCTGGGTTCGGTACCTCTAACAAGGTTAAGAACCACTGCACTAGACAGTTAGGGTGCAAAACAGGCTTTTGCGACCATTGGATTTGTTTCTATTTGAACTTATTGCTACGGGAATCCCAAACAAATTGATTGTCTACCAACTCTCAAAGGATCAATGGCTATCATAATTGTCATCCTTTTTGGGGAACTTGTTTTCTACTGCAATCCATTTCTTTGTATTTCTCAAGGTTTCCTGGAGCAAGGACTGATGGTGAAGGACGGCCACCGTTTGCGGGAAACCTACATCCGAACCTTACAATGTAAGCTGGACATCTGCTCCATCCTTCCAACTGATCTGTTGTATTTGACTTTCGGAGTCAGTCACACTCCCCTTCTTCGATTCAATCGTCTGCTGCGCCTGCCACGGCTCTTTGAGTTCTTCGAACGGACGGAAACGAGAACAGGCTACCCAAATACCTTCCGCATCGGTAAACTTGTCGTCTACATCCTGGTGATCATCCACTGGAATGCCTGCGGATACTACAGCTTCTCCAAGATCCTGGGACTGGGTTCCGACTCCTGGGTTTATCCCAATGCCTCGGATCCAGAGTACGCCTCCCTGACCCGAAGTTACATATACTGCCTGTACTGGTCCACTTTGACGCTGACTACCATTGGAGAGACCCCACCTCCTGTGAGAGATGAGGAGTATCTCTTCTTAATATTTGACTTTCTGGTAGGTTATTAGTTGTTAAGTAACTTACCCTGTTGTTGTAACACAGAAATGTATGTCCCATTCTTTTTAAAGGTTTGTGGTATTAGTCAATCAAAGCTGCTAATTGAGTTTTTTTTTTTTTTTCCTGTTCCAGGTAGGGGTTCTGATTTTTGCATCCATTGTGGGGAATGTCGGAGCCATGATCTCAAATATGAATGCCACAAGAGCAGGCTTTCAGGCGCGTGTAGATTCTCTGAAACATTACATGCACTTCAGGCATGTCAACAAGGTTTTAGAACAGCGTGTCATTCGGTGGTTTGACTACCTCTGGACCAATAAGAAGACTATCGATGAACAGGAAGTGCTGAGGAGCTTACCCAGTAAACTAAGAGCAGAGATTGCAATCAACGTTCACCTGGACACACTGAAGAAGGTATAGACCTCATTATACAGAGTGCAATGTTGCAGTCCACCTCCTCTGACAATACGTATTTGTGGATGTAGGTGCGTATTTTCCAGGACTGCGAGGCAGGTCTCTTGGTAGAGTTGGTGCTCAAACTTCAACCACAGGTTTTCAGTCCAGGAGATTACATCTGTAGAAAGGTAAGGCTGAAGTACTTTTAGGCCGAGTTTACCCAGCATGGCTCAAGTGACATAACTTGGATTGTTTTGCTCTCAACTAGCACAATTCTAAATGCATTTTAGCAGTGTAAATAGGAACAAAAGCATGGAATCGGATTTCGTCAGAATGGAATTACATGTCTTCCAAATGTGGATGAAAGAAATCTGATACATATTATCTTCACTGAGAGCACAGAAAATGAAATATGGGCTAAATATATGACATTAGAGACAATTAGCTCAACTCAACTCAACTCAAATGTATTTATAGAGCACTTTCAAACAGCCATCGCTGCACACAAAGTGCTGTACATGGAGCAACTAACATATACAACAGTAAAGCAAAGCAACAAATCGATAACAAAGATGGTAGAGAGCACCAAACAGTATAACTAAGATCATAATTTCGGTCATGCTGAGTCAAATGCCAAAGAATACAAGGGAGTTTTGAGGCGGGTTTTAAAGATGGGCAGCGAGGAGGCTTGCCGAATGTTCAGTGGGAGGTCATTCCAGAGAGAGGGACCAGCAACGGAAAAGGCTCGATCCCCTCTGAGCCTCAGTTTAGTTCTTGGTACCTCTAGTTGTGTCTGGTCCACAGACCTGAGGCTCTGGGCAGGTGTGTAGGGGCGGATGAGCTCAGAGAGGTAAGGTGGCGCGAGGTCATTTAGAGATTTGAAAACAAATAAGAGGATCTTATGTGGGAAGGTATGTGCTCCCTCTTACGAGTACCAGTCAAGAGACGAGCAGCGGCAATAGAACATTTAATATTTGTTTAATTTCTGTGTTACTGTTCACTGTTCTTAATGCTTGAAGAACTTGTTATGTGCAATGTGGGGCAACTGCAAATATTGTTTGTTTCATGTTTTACATATGTATGTATATGACATGTGTCACTTGGATGTGGAAATTGACGGTGTAAAAAAGCTTAAATGGGCGCTCAGACTCTGCTGGCGGATCTGTGTGACGGAGGTCTGCGTTGCTGTGGGAGTGACGTAAACCACACTGCAAAACCGACACGACGTTTTCAGATCACTATTAACATTTCATTGTCAATTCTCCTTTTTCTAAGGGAGATGTGGGTAAAGAGATGTATATCATTAAAGATGGCCGCCTTGCTGTGGTGGGGGAGGATGGAGCCACGCAGTTAGCAGTCCTCACAGCAGGGAGCTGCTTTGGAGAGATCAGCATCCTGAATATCAGCGGCAGCAAGATGGGGAACCGACGCACGGCTAATATTCGCAGTCTGGGGTACTCAGACCTTTTCTGCCTTTCCAAACAAGACCTGATGGATGCACTGCAGGAGTTCCCCCATGCCAGGGCTCAACTGGAGCAGAGGGGTCGGGATATCCTGCGGAAGGAGGGGTTGCTGGAAGAAGTCAATGTGTCTGCTGGGGAGGAGCTGGAGGAGAAGGTGGAGAGGTTGGAAACGAGTGTGGATCGACTACAGGTCAGTTGACCCATTACCACTGTTCCAGCCAAATTCACTTATATTCTGGTCCCTTTGCTGACAAGGACCACACCTTATGAATATTTCAAGGTACAAGCCTTCACTGGATTGATTTTTAATATTTTTATGTTGCGGGGTATAAGATACTTGATATTCATGGAAATGTTTTCGTCGCCATCAGCTCATTCTGTATTTAATGAGGTTACCCACAACTGTTACTGTTGCCACACGGGTAAACCACAGTAACAATGCTCTAGTCATGGACAAATCACTGCGTCCTTTCCCGCACAGAGATTCTCCATGCGAGATATGAGGGCGCCACATTTAAAGGGAATGAGAGCGCCTGGTTTGATTGATGGAGAATAGAGTCGGCTGTGTTCATGCCCATAACGGCGCAAATGGCCCTTTTTTAAATACAGCGTGTTCATAAAATTACCAACACCCAGTCTAACCTGCCTCTGCGCAGATTTAGACTGGTCACAAAAATGTTGTGTGAATTCTTGTAATACAACAATGTAGACTCCTGTTTTTCTTAGCACGTTTTGGGGGCTGGGGGTGGGGGCTGGAAGGTATTAATGACATTTCCATTCATTTCAATAAGGAAAGTGGATCTGAGATATGAGTGGTTTAACTTACAAGCATGGTCACAGAATCAATCAAACTAGTAAGTCAAGGCACCTTTGTATTCGGAATGTTGGTTTCTGTCATGCTATATGATGTAATTTACAGACAAGTTTGGCACGTCTGCAGAGTGAGTTCAACTCTGCACAGCTTCGAATGAAGCAGCGAATGACAGCCCTCGAGCACAACATCACCACAGTAACCACAGGCAGCGGCTTTCTGTCAGACACAGACGGCAACGACAGCGCATCTGGTGGCGGCGGGATGCGGAGCCAAATAAATATTCGGCTTTAAATAATCCATAGAATAATAAGTCTTTTTGATGTAGAGCTCATTAAAAGGAAATAATCATATTTTGTATTTATAAATTAAATTGTGGAATACGTTTTCGTGAATGTTTGATAATTTTATTTCATCATCAATTATTTCTGAAATATTGTTTTTGATAACTGATTTCATATATATGTGACATAATGAAATGAAAATGCCACAGGCTGCTCTAAACCTTTTCATTATTCTCTGTTTTAATTGATCGTCTTCCTGGTGTGACTGTCCTGTATGCTACTGCATTCTGTGATTTATAAGCTTCCATTACTACAAAGGATAGCATTTTAATGATTGGTGGGTTTCATGTGACTGCAAATGACGTCACTAACCGATTTCTGAAGAATTTTATAAATCTCTCCGAATCTTGGACTTTCACTGAACATCTCAATCGCCGAACACATCTTAAAGTTAACATACGTTGAATGGTTTACATATGCATTATTAATATTTTTCAAGTAGATATTTTTCTGTGGTTGTTTGTATAAGCCAGTTTGTCTTCTCTGCGGGATTCCTCATGGGGCCGTCTTAGGGCTCATCCTTTTGGGGCTCTATGTTTCCACTCAGAGCTGTCTTAAGCAAATCTTAATGTATTTCAAGCCAATTGTGTGCAGATGATCTCTCGATTAATTTTTCAACCCTAATGGTACCAGTGGCATTAATTGCACTGCATGACTGCAGTTACAGGAAGGGCTGGATGGCTCACAACTCATTTCAATTAAGTATGGCAAAAGTCAAGTAGTGTATTAATTGTTGGCACCTGTTTCGGGCCACTTTTTAAAAAATATGGGCCCCAGTTTGATAAACCTTAGTCATATTCAACCAGACCATGCTTTTAAATGAACACATTAAAATTGTGAACCGTTTCCTGTTTTTTCCTCATCAAGAATATTTCTACACTTGTGCCCATTTGAAGACATTCTGAATTATAAATGATGAATGGAATCTTTCAATGTATTTCTTTTTGTGTTTTGAAATGATTTCCCGTCACCATGCAGACCCATCTGTCTGTTATTGGGACAGACCGCATCTTATTGGCCTCCTGTTAGGTTTATGCTGGTAATCAGATGCTAAGAACACATCAGGAACAGGAAGACTCAGGAGGCAAGCATGGTTGTCTTTCTTGCAAGAGAGAGCGCGCTAAAACATGTCTCGGTTCACAATCTCAAAGCAGCTCTCCAGCTGGCTCTGCAATGTAAACCGTTACAGGTTCCGGGGCAACTCTGAAGAGTGCGCGTTTGTCTCCTTGCATTTATTGGAAGGATGTCCCTGATACACAATCTTCTAACGGGAGTGGGGAGTATTTTCACATTCCACAACAGTTTCAGTAAAGGAGAGTTTCAATGAGAAAACACAGTTCATTCCTGAGATGTCGTCAAACGGCTCCTGCTGGATGTCGATGGTCCACATACACAGCTTGGGATGTCCCTCACACAGTGTCCTGGGTTTGATGTTATCTTCTCACAAGCAACAATTAATTTGACCAGAAGCCGTTCACTTAACAACAAGATATTGTCTTAAAAGCTAGAACAGGAGCAGCCTGAGCTCTCCCGGTCCGACAAGTCTGCCATGATCAACCTACCCCATTGTATATGAGGTATTTGCGAGTTATCACTCTGAAACAGGTTTTAAAGTTACACAGAGAGTAAATATGGGATAACAGAATCACATTTATTCCAACACCTCCGCACAAAACGAAAAACTTGAGGTTGTAGATCTTGCAACCTACTGCTCAGAAATTGTGGAATGCACTTCTTTTTGTGCTAAGATCTGCCTGTTCTGTTGACATTTTGAAAAAGCTGTTCAAAACACGTGTTTCGGCATTACAGTTTTACTTGATTGTTTTGATTTGTTTGATTGCATTAACTGTATAGTTTGTGATTGTCTATTTAAACCATGTGAAGTGCTTTGTAAGTTCTCTGTGTGAGAATTCCACATCAATAAAAGTTGCTTATGTACAGTTCTACGGATTTACAAGCCCCAAACTAGGTGGGTTTCATTAGCCTTTTTTTAGCTGCATTAATACAAGCTACTGTTTCATTTTGATTTTTGATGATGCATCATTATTTTTATTCATGAGTATGATTTTCTAAATTGTGATATCGATGCTTGTGGAGGCTCTCAGTCGTACAGGAAAGTTCCATCGTAGAAAGGGTTCTGTCAGTCGTCATCTGTACCTGTGGGTAAAAAACAAAAAACAAAAAACAAAACAAAAAAAAAACAAAAAAGGACGTTTCGCTTCTCTCACAGAAGCTTCGTCAGCGGTAGACAACCCTGAAGTCTCCGTGAAGACTCCGGGAAGTTGCTCTGCGCTAAAAGGCTGAGCGTGGCCTGTTTGAGGACTGGGTGGGGATGGTTAGTCACGCCCCTATGGTGAAGAGGCCCATTGGTTTCTAAACTCCCTATCATTGGGTCTTGATTAGGCCTATTGTTTGGGCTAAGGCTGAATAGCTACTTTCAGTTAGCCTGATCAGCATGTCCCTTTCAAACCATCTCTTTTCTGTTCCTAGGATTTTTACTTGTTCATCTTCAATTGTGTGGTTTGTTTCTTTTAAGTGTGCGTATACTGCACTTTTGTTATCATTGTTTTTCCATTTGTGTTGATAAAGTCTTTTCTTGAGTGTTTGTTTGGTTTCTCCAATGTAATGTTCCTTGCACTCACTTTCTTGGCAACGGATGGAATAAATCAGATTGCATTTTTGGGTGTTAGGAACCCGGTCTTTGGGGTGTACTAGTTTTTGTCTCAATGTGTTTATCGGTTTAAAATAAACAGGAATATCATGTTGTAGAAATATTCTTTGTATTTTCTCTGAGAGGCCGGCAATATAAGGTACACAGACACCCCTTCTCTTCTTTTCTCTCTGTTGGTTGGTTTCCTCTCTGTTTGTTTTAATTTTCCTAACTTTGCCAAAGGCCCATTTAGGGTAGCTACACCCTGACAATGCCTTCTCGATGTGTTTGACCTCACTCTTTGTTTTTTGTTTTTTACCCACAGGTACAGATGACGACTGACAGAACCCTTTCTACGAAATTGTGATATCTGTATCTCTGTCAAAAATAAATAGTGACACTGCAGGGAAAACGGTAATGAAAACTTTTGCAATTGTATTTTTCAACCCTATTTCTGTCCTTTCGGTGTAGCACATGCAAAACCAACAGTTGAGTCTAAGGGAATTTCCCATGTGGAATTTGAGAAATGTTTAAAAAAAAAAGAAAAAAAGGGGGTGAGAGGTGGCTTACCAAATTTATTATTGTCGCCCCTTTTAATAAATGTTCTTTTTTTCATGCATTTCATTCCAAAAAAAAAACCATCAATGTACTGTAGGTCATTATAATATCAGTACAGTAATGGCTTGATTTACTATTTAATCTGCTTAAGTTGCATATCAAATTTTCCACTTTAATATTAAGTGAAATGTCATTAATACTGTTCAGCAATACCAAAAAATGTTGCTTGTTCATAACCAAACTCTTGTATCAATCAAACAACAAAAACAATCAGAACGTAAAGGAACAAACTGTCAAACTGTTTTTTTTTTGGGGTCAATAAGGTATAATTATTGTATCTATTGTAGCATTTGTGGCTTAGTGAGTGACTTGAGGATCTAGACTTGGTTTGCCCTCTGATATTTATATATTTAGATTAAGTTTCACTTTTAATACTGACTCAGAGATGTTTAATATTTATTAAATCAAGTGTCACCGGTATGTCAAGTTGAACCACTATTTTAAATATGTAAATGAAGCAACAGTGTCCAACCCATCGCTGAAAATGTCAAAGTTACGGCCCTATAGCCTCACGATATTTCTTTCTGAGATTCAGGATATGGTCACTGCAAGCTCTGTAGCTGTGTCAGCCAGTGACTCTTCATGAACAAAGTCCATCTTAACATTTCTGGAAGGCTCCAGGAAGTGACTGTGACATGGTCCTCTCAAAAGGAACGTTGTGCGTGTGGGGGAGGGAAATGGTAAGTTCTTACTCTGGTGTTTTCTCTTGAATTCAGAGCCAGTTTCCCTCATTTCATCAACTTATCTTGATCGTCTAAGTGTTGCTGATGTTTTTAAATATTCCCTTAAACCTCTAAGGTGCTAGTGTGATGAATGATTGTGATAATTGGAGAGAGATTTTTTTTTCACATGCGCATGTGTGCACTGTGCACTTTGAGTGCTTCTCTTTTCATGGTCTCAGTTTATGTGTGCTTAGTTATTTATATACCCTGTAGTACTTAATTTATGAGACATAATTTATGCCCTAGCAGCCCTAATCAACAGCACTGGAATTTACCCAAACGATTGTTTTTGCAAGTGTATGGAAAAGAAAATTACATACTATGGGTAATTAATATTATCCAAAGTCTAAAGTCAAAGATCGGTTTCATGTAAACTTCTGTATAAATGATACGTAATTCATTGTTGGTTATGATGGTAAATAAAAAATAAACCTTACCTATCCATTTTCATGGTGTGTGAATTTAATTCATCCAAGTTAACAATATGATTATTATTGTTTTTTTTTTTTTTTTTTTTTTAACTACAGCCATCAAGAAAGCATACAAACAACTGGTTAGCATTCGAAATGCAGAACATTTCAAAGAGCTCTCGTACTGGATGTCATTATTCAGCATTTTGCATGTGGTGAAGTATTCTGGCTGGTTGGTGCATGCTTGTTTCTGTTTCACAGATGGAGCTTGCGGTTGTGCTTATTGCAGCCAGTGTGGTACCAGTGTCTGCAGCAGAACAGGTAAAACTTGTTCACAAGTCGTAAAAAAAAAAAAAAAAAAAAATCCAATCTTGCTCCTGAGAACAGCGAAGGAGTAAACAATCAATTGAGTGAGTGAGTGACTTTCTGCCACCAAATTGTCACTCTACCAGGTGTATCAGTGCATCTCTATATTTGCACTCATACACGCTGTCTGCGAAAAAAGAGCCCCAAAAATTAAATCAAACGCACCCTGAATTTTTTGGGCATTCCATTATTTGAAATACTTAAAATAATTTTGTGTGGTGCGGTGTGTTAAGATTTTTTATTTATTTTTTTATGTTTCTCGCAGTCCAGCCTCATCGAAAGTCTCTTCTTGGCTACGCATCAGCGCCCCTGGCTCTGGGGTGTCTATGTTTTCACCGTTGGACTTCCCATTATTCTTTTCATCAGCTTCATGTGGCCTGACATGGTGCAATGAGCTTATTTTTTTCATACTCCTCTCTCTCTAAATGATCCCATTCGAACATGATTCGATCTGGGTTGGGTAAGACGTCTAACTCCATGCCTGTTTGAATTTAGAGGTTTGGCCCCCCTGACCAACAATATTACTACAAGAAGTTTGACGACGAACAACCAGATGACCCGGAGAGCCACCAAGAGAAACAACCAATGCACAGCAGTGGTAATTCTATTTCAAGTGTAGTGGTTCTTTCCGAAGCTGAATAATGCATGCAAAATGACCCGCTCTTCTTTTGCCGAAGGCGAAGACAGACCATTGGCAAGAAGAAGAGACACTCATGGTTGCCAGAGACACAGTCACTAAGAAATGAAGATTCAACAGATCCAAGAAGCCCTCCACTGGTCTAGAACGCCCCCTCCCAAAAATGTGACAAAAGAGGCCGAAGTGTCAGAAGACAGAAAGTGGAAGAACTCTTTTTATTTCGCTCTTTTCCAAGTACTCATCAAATGCAAAAGGAATGAAGAAATATGATCAAAACAACTGATTTCGCGTCTTCTTCTTAAACTCCATTCAGTTAAACGGCAACAACATGTCTGAAATGGTTTTGGAATTGATAAGTGAGCATCTGTTCTTAATATTTCCTGCATGCTTTGAAGGTTTTATCACTGTAGATAATCAGGCATTTTCGTCAGTGTCTTGGCCCTGCCTGGCTTTGTTATGTTCCCAGTGTTGGGGAAAAAGTAGAAAAAAGAAAACAAAACCTTGAAAGCACCGCTGAAGGCACAGAAGAGCTCTGCTCACTTTTTTTGTGTGTGTTTCATTTCCAACAAACTCTGAAGAGGATGCAGGCCGCACAGCTCCACTTGCATGGCGTTCGTCTGACGTTCTTCATAATTTGCTTTCATTTACTTGGTGTAAGTCTCGCTATGTATGTATGTATACTTACATATACAACCCTTTAATTTGTTTCACTCTGAGCAGCTTTCTCTGATGTGTTCTTATTGTCTTTTGTGGAATTGTCCGGTGAACGTAGTTGCCTTACATCAGTGACATAAGAATCGGTGACAATGATTCCGGCTGTTCTCGTACGCGTATGCAGGCATCAGACCAGTGTGATGAGGAACTGACGAGGCTGAGGGAACAAGAGAAGCTTCTGAAAAGTCAGCTCCAAAAACAAGACCTCCTCCTACGCAGACTACGATTGTTTAACCAAGCCGGCCATGAGGCAAATAACAGAGTCAACCGAACGCAGCGCGAAGGTCAGATGCAAAGCGACACTCAAAAGGTCCGTCATCCATTTCATCCAAGTTGATGTTACATTGCAGTGTTGCCAGACTGCTCCCATCTCTACACTTCTGGCTTGAAAGCCAGTGGTTACTACAACATCCAACCGCATGGCTCCGTTGCGCCCGTCAGAGTCTACTGTGACATGACTGAAGGAGGTGGTTGGACTGTGATTCAAAAAAGGATCAATGGAGCAGAAAATTTTAACAGGTGTGTCTAGCAGAGCCTCATTTGATGAAATGAATACAAATTCCTCTGCACGAATAATAAGGAATGTCTATCTATCTATCTAGGTCGGGGGTCGGCAACACGCGGCTCTCGAGCCGCATGTGGCTCTTTAGCGCCCCGCAGTGGCTCCCTAGAGATTTTTCAAAAATGTTTGAAAATGGAAAAAGATGGGAGGGACATATATTTTTTGTTTTAATATGGTTTCTGTCAGAGGACGAACATGACACAAACATTATTAACGTTTTCCAATGCTGTAAAATGTGTCGAATAAATATTAAATGTCAACATTTCGTCAATGAATATTTGCATCATAGCCTGCGACAAATGTTTCTATTAGCAGGGCGGGATGTCAGTCAGGAGGCTGTTGTAAAAAAAAAAAACCCAGCTGCCTTTCATGTACAATTCACCGCGGGTACTTGCTACAAATGGGAATCTGGGCGGCCAAGAGAAGCATTTTTAAACGGTACACGTGAGCTACGATAGCAAGGTGCGAAGGTGCGTCCCGTGCCTCGTTCATCTTAGCGGCCATTATGGCTGTCGCTCATTATGGCATGCGTGTGTACGTGTGTGCGTATGCCGCGCCTGTGCGGTAACGGTTGGATCGCGGGAGGTTGGTTGTTCGAAAAGTAGATCTTCCGTCAAAAAAGTTTGAGCACCCCACCTCAACAGGATGAACTGCAGGGGGGAAAAAAAAGTTTAATCATGAATGCTCATTGTGTATTTGAAGCCAACGTAGTCATGTTGATAGCAGGCTAATGTAGCTCATATACTGAAGATACATACAGCATGTGTTGCCTTCATTACAAGGCTTTTTATTTTTTGCAGCTCCAGACGTATTTGTTTTTTGTTTATTTTGGTCCAATATGGCTCTTTCAACATTTCGTGTTGCCGACCCCTGATCCAGGTCATGGGTGGAATACAAGGATGGTTTTGGAAACATGGTTGCAGACCTCGGGGAGTTTTGGCTTGGGAATGACATTCTGCATTCTATCACTGCACAAGGTGAGTTTGCTTTGACGCCTGCAGTTTTTATCAAGGACTTTTTAGTACATTAGTTGGGATTGTTTGTTTTTTTTTTTCATATTTGTCGTGAGAGCTACCAAAATAACTGCCACTTTCTGGTGCCCCCTTATTTATGTCAGAGCAATGTTGCTTTCCTGAAATGAATTGAGATTCCTTGATGAACCCATTCTTGATTGCAAAAAAAAAAAAGCATTGTATGGAATAAAAACACATTCTTATGTAAAGAAATAAACTTTTTTTAAATGTAATTAATTATTCTATGCTGGGACACACGGTGGTTGACTGGTTAGCATGTCGGCCTCACAGTGCAGAGGTCGTCGGTTCAATCCCAGCTCCGGCCTCCCTGTGTGGAGTTTGCAAGTTCTCCCCGGGCCTGCGTGGGTTTTCTCCAGGTACTCTGGTTTCCTCCCACATTCCATAAACATGCATGGCAGGTTAATGGAACATTCCAAATTGTCCCAAGGTGTGATTGTGAGCACGGATGGTTGTTTGTTCATGTGTGCTCTGCGATTGGGTGGCAACCGGTTCAGGGTGAACCTCGCCTACTGCCCAAAGACCGCTGGGATAGGCTCCAGCACGCCCGTGACCCTTGTGGGGATAAAGTGGATCAGAAAATGGATGTATGGATAGATGGATATGTTGGGACAAGCCGGAGGTTTCATGTATTCAATGCGTCCGCTGCGCACACCAATTAAGATGTTTAATTCGTCACGTTGGTGATGCAATGCTGCCTCCATGAGTGTGTTGAGGAATTTCTCCTTACTATGAGTACTATTGGTACCAGTCTCTCACCTGAACACCTGTTAAAACTCTTAAAACAAAGGATGTAGTGTGAAGTTTATATCTTCTTCTCCTCTTGAGTGATTAACAGCCCCCTAGTGGGTTCTTTTGCCTACCCCACCTCGGGAGACTCCCTGGAGGCCGTCACGATCCCTGAAGATAAGAGCTCCTTTATCTCAAGATTTATGCATGGCAGGAGAGCTCTGGACTTTTCAGTCCTGGATTTCTCACGCCAAGATCGAATTGCAAAACCTTCCTTTGTTCCTGATTTTTACATAAGGGGCCCGCCTCTCTTTAACATATTATCCATATATAAATGTGAGTCTGTATTTGTCCTTTGCTTCCTGACGAAATCTGAAACACTCAGAAGCCCGAATCGATTCGTACTGTGTTGTGATAAACTGCAGAAAAGACAATGTGGTGTTGGGTCTTTATTCCACCTGATAGAGAAATAAAAGAACCTGTGTCCAAGGAGGGCCATAAGGAAATGGACACATCTCCTCTACAAGTGAAATACAAACAATACTTTCCAGTTATCCAGCGTTTTGCTTCAGAATCTCGGCTGCTTAAGAACAGGTTGCCATGTGACTCAGCACAACACAACTGTTGTCATGGTAACAAAAGCGTACTTTGTCTCTGCTTCCTCTGCTGTCTAGATTATCTCAGACATTTTGGAAAAAAATGCACATTTTGGGGGACTTATTTCTCATAGTATCGTGAAAGAGAACTTGCTATTTTCAAAGTGGTTAATAAATTAAAGGTTTCCACGTGACAGCGACAAAATACAACACCTGTATGCCTAACATTCTTTGTTCATCTATTTGTTCAAGGCAATTATACACTAAGGATTCATCTGGAAGACTTTGAGGGGAACCAACGTCATGCCGAGTACAGGAATTTCAAAGTTGCGGATGAAAAGGTATAAGTAGCACATGATTACTCATATCTGCGATGCCATCCATTTCCTGTCTCTCGTTATATCTCTGGGTTCAAATGTCTACCGTGTACTAACATCCTCTTGGCCATGTCGTGCATAAATTTAGTCAACCCATTTTTGTTTCTGGTCCTTTGCAGGATCACTACAGACTCACTTTTGGCGCCTACACTGGCACAGCAGGAGACGCTTTGTCTGGCAGTTACCAGGCCGGTGTGTCAGACTGGGCCAGTCACCAGGGCATCAGCTTCAGCACCTTTGACAAGGACAATGACAACTACCAAGGCAGTTGTGCACAGGAAGATAAAGGAGGATGGTGGTTCAACAAGTATGCGCTTGCCCCATATAGTACTTTTATTTTGAAATGAGATCAATAGTGTCTTTGATTTTTTTTAACTATTTGAAGGGGATTGTTTTTGGACATTGTTGTTTTAAAGTACATGCAACCCGATGCTTTGGTTTATCGTCACATTCAAAATGACTGAACTTAAGATCCCTTTTTTTTCTTTTTATTATTCTGTTTTTCCCAAGGTGCCACTCAGCACATCTGAATGGCAGGTACTATCCCGGTGGATACTATAGTGGACTGACAGATGATGGCGTGGTTTGGTACACATGGAGAGGATGGTGGTATTCCCTGAAAAGCAGCATCATGAAACTACGGCCTGACAACTTCAAAATTGACCCTTTGGATGACCCCAATGTTGTTCGCAGAGATCCTCCATCTTAAGTCGAAGGTGTCTTGAAATACAGGCTGAACGCGGTGCCATGAAAAAGCTTGCACAATATTAATGGAAACAACGGCTATAAATAATTACACTATTATTAAAATAGTTGTCAATTAATTTGATAATTGATTAATTGTTGATTAATCAATTCATTTTAACACCACTGCTCCACCATTTATGGTCAAGTAAGCTTGAAGGCTTATTACACAGGACACCGATGCTATTCATTAGCCTTTCGATGGCGTTTTCCATTATTTGTAATCATTAAACTAAGGGGACTTTCCTAAGGCAAAGCTACGTGGTTGTTTTGAACGTAGGATGAGGAATTCTCTTGGTGTGATGTTTAGTTTGACAGTACAATACAATACAATATATGCTGATTTATATCGCGCTTTCACAACAGCTGCATCTGTAACAAAGCGCTTAACAAAACAGTTAAACGTCAACTGCGAGTTGCATGTCACAGCATCAAGCCACTCTTTTCAAAAATTGTTCATTCTGAACTGCTGCTTTGTTTGAAGTGAGGACTCCACTTACCGCACTCATATCTTTCAAAAAAATTGAATATTTGTAGGCACCTCTGTATTTGCCTTCACAGTTCATATTTTTAATGGCGCAGCAATTTGCATAAAGTAGCAAACTAAAAATAATAATTTCCGTTGCATTTATGTTGGTCATTCTCTTAAAACAAAACTAACCAACAAGTCTGTTCTGTTCTGTATACATGATGGCATGTTGAAGTAATAAAACACATGAACACTGCCTTTTGTCTTAGACTCTTTTTCGATCCTGTCAAGTTCTCTTTGGTGGACATATTATTTGTTGACAAATGGTGTGGAGTTGGATACTTTCACTTTCCAAAAATACATATGTAAGGATAAGTCAAGACATTGTACGTACAAAAGTGCGTCTCGGTTCACAATCTCAGAGCAGCTCTCCAGCTGGCTCTGCAATGTAAACTGTTACAGGTTCCGGGGCAACTCTGAAGAGTGTGCGTTTGTCTCCTTGCATTTATTGGAAGGATGTCCCTGATACACGATCTTCTAACGGGTGTGAGGAGTATTTTCACATTCCACAACAGTTTCAGTAAAGGAGAGTTTCACTGAGAACACACAGTTCATTCCTGAGATGTCGTCAAACGGCTCCTGCTGGATGTCGATGGTCCACGTACACAGCTTGGGATGTCCCTCACACGGTGTCCTGGGGTTGATGTTATCTTCTCACAAGCAACAGTTAATTTGACCAGAAGCCGTTCACTTAACAACAAGATATTCTCTTAAAAGCGAGAACAGGAGCAGCCTGATATCTCCCGGTCAGACAAGTCTACCATTATCAACATACCCCATTGTATATGAGGTATTTGCGAGGTATCACTCTGAAACAGGTTTTAAAGTTACACAGAGAGTAAATATGGGATAACAGAATTACATTTATTCCAACAGCGACTGTGAGTGTTAATGCTTGTTTGAGTCCTCTGATTGACCAATCCAGCAAGTATCCCGCCTCTTGCCCAAAGTCTGCTGCTCTTATGAGTATAACAGAAAATGGATGGATGACTACATTGTTGGCCAGCTGTGTCCCTTGCTACTGGTTCTTGCCTCAGCACCGCTTAAAGTGGAACAGGGAGGGAGTTGAGTCTAATGACCGCCTGTTGGACTAAACCAGGGGTCGGCAACCCAAAATGTTGAAAGAGCCATATTGGACCAAAAAAACGAAAAACAAATGTGAATGGCATCCTGCCCTGCTAATGGAAATGTGTGTCGCAGGCTATGACGCAAATCTTCGTTGACAGAAATGTTGAAATGTAATATTTATTCGACACATTTTTACAGCATTGGAAAATGTTAAGATTGTTTGTCCTCCGACAGAATTCATATAAAAACAAAAAATATATTTTCACTCCCCCATCTTTTTCCATTTTCAAACATTTTTAAAAAGCTCCAGGGAGCCACTAGGGGGCGCTAAAGGGCCGCACGCGGCTCCGGAGCCGCGGGTTGCCGACACCCGGACTAAACTGTTCTTGAGCCCGTTGGTTCTAGCACAGAGATATCGCAGTCTCCTCCCTGACGGCAGCAGGTCGAAGAGGCCGTGAGATGGGTGGCTGGGGTCACCTGCAATCCGGATGGCTTTGCGGGTCAGACGAGAGTTGATAGAGAGAGAACATGACACTTATTCGGGGGACCCTCTCTGCTGCAATTCAAAAGCACCATAAAAGCATTCTCCTGAAACTCTCCAAGAACATCGCAATTCCTGTCAAACCTGACGGTGGCTTTAGAGAGATTTAACCAAGAATACACATAGATCAGGAGACTTTTGTCGAAAGATTTGCACACTTTAACAGCTGCTAGACTGGTTCTGCGGGGAAGGAGGTAGAATGTTTCAAATGTTTGATGTAAAATATTGCAATGGAGAAACCGGTCTCTAAAGATAAGAATTGTTTTTGTTTTTAACATCTAATCAATTAAGTGGATGTGCCCTGCTTATGGCAGTGGCACTTCCTTTTTACCAAGTTTCTCGCTTGTGCAAGTCATTCTGCCGGCACCTTCATTTAAATCTGATGAGGCAACAGGTCTTTCCCCTCTTAGTGGGCGGACACATTTTGTAGCCTCTACATTTACCTCTCCAGAGAAACTCTGGTTTCAATTGATCTCTCTCCCTTCAAACTCGAAGGATGTCAACTGACCTCATTACTGAAATATTATTACAATTGGAGTCATCACTGTAGCACGGCAAATTAATTGGCTGTGCTTATCAGATGTGTTTCAGTCAAGGAAGAAGTCTTGGGGCAAAAAAAAAAGGTGAGCAGAACAAACTGAATTTTGAATTTACCCATGATCTCAAATGATCTGTTAAATCTTTTTTCCTTTTTTATTTTTTTCTTATATGCCAAAGTTAGTACCTGCCTAACTACAGTAACCTTATCTTAATGCTACAAAAAAGATATAGATAAAGTTATGTAACATTTCTGGCAGAAGTCAAAATAACACAAACAACTCATCTGGATTGCAAAGGATACATTGTCCAAACTAAGATATTGTGTGCGCATTTGCAGTTGAATGGCGCGGTGCCACTGTTGCTGGCGTAGGGCCTTGATCTGCGTGTGCGGCCTGTGCATCTGCCTCGTCCTGCTGTTCCTCTCCCTCGGCATCATGGTGTGTTCAAACATGAATAATGCGGCATCGCAGGCGGCCTTATATTCAATGCGTTCTCCAAAAAGTGATCACTTTGTGACCTATCGGAGATTTAAAGATATGGACTTTACCTCAATTTCGAAAACTTTCTGGAAGCTCCACGAAGAGGCTTTGTGGAACCAACTCCAGTTGGCCATTGACCGTCACCTCAACCCCATCCTGAATCCGCAAAATGCCCATAGGAGGTTCAAGAGTAGGGCCTTTTATGATTCCCTTCTGAGGCTAAGCTTCTCGCAGGTTACCGACTTGGATCCCACGAGGAGAAAAATTGAGAAGCTACCACAGCAGATGCGAGACTTTGTGAGCCACATGAAACGGAGAAACTACCAGGTCCTCATCCAGTCTCCAAATGCAACCTGTGGAGCAGGAGCGGTCAATGAGAAGGAACCGCCGCTGCTCCTCCTCGCCGTTAAGTCGACCCACTTGAACTTTAAGAACCGTCAGGCCATCCGGCAGACCTGGGGCAGGGTGGGCTGGGTGGCCACACACAGAATGAACGGCGGTCAAAGACAGGAAGTTGGGGGATATATCCGCCGGGTGTTCCTAATCGGCAAAGAGTACACCCGAAATTCTGCATGGAATGTATCCGAATTGTTGCAGATGGAGGATCAACTATATGGCGATATTCTTCAGTGGGACTTTGACGACACTTTTTTCAACCTCACCTTGAAAGACGTTCTCTTCTGGAAGTGGTTCACCCACCAATGCGGCCAGACTCGCTTTGTATTTAAGGGAGACGACGACGTTTTCGTCAACACGCCAAACTTGATCAACTACCTCCACGACCAGCTGGAGAAGCCACACGCAGATCGCACCATGAATGAATTCATGGTCGGCGATGTCATCGCCGCAGCTTTTCCCAATCGAGTTCACCAGTCTAAGTACTTTGTGCCAGACAGCTTTTACGAGGGACTTTATCCCACCTACGCAGGTGGTGGAGGAGTGGTGTATTCGGGCCAGCTGGCTAAACGTCTTCATAAAATCTCTGGAAGAGTCCACCTCTTCCCTATTGATGATGTTTTCGTTGGGATGTGCATGACTCGGCTTAACGCGCACCCCACCCACCACCCGGGCTTCCTCACGTTCGACTTCCGTGGCGATGAAGAGAAGGAGCTATGTGCATACCACACAATACTATTGGTTCATAAACGAAATCCGACGCAGCTAATTGAACTGTGGGATGAATTGTCGAAGACACGCAGCCAGTGTTTGCACGTGCCACTGAGGATGTCCAACAAGAAAACTTCTCTTCTTGGGTAGTGTTCATGTGTGAGGTGTTCGTCAAAGAGAAAATGAGGTGAATGCAAAGACGTGAAAAGCATGCTTTTGATATCCTTGATACGCAGCTCAAGGTCAATGTACTGGTACGCTCTTTGTCTCACAAGGATGTCATTTCAACCCACTAGTAGAATAACTGTGTCTCACGAATAACAATCTTTTCCACATCTGTATGACATTTCTGCACACTGTTGGCATTCTAAGACAATTACATGTTAACAGTGAGGAAAATCTATGCCCAGCAGGCTACCAGCGCAGCACAGTCATCTTAAAGTGCTTGCATATATGCTGTGCCACTATGAAATGAAGTCATAGATTTACATGAAGTTGTGTTAAATTGATGATAAATGCATTAATTCTTAATAATAAATGAGTACTACTGAGAAAACAAACAAAAAAACTTTGGTGAAATCTGTCAGAATGGAATTACCCCTTAATTGGAACTAGTTTTTGTAGGATGTATTTTTCTGCACATCTTGCCATCGGTGTCATTAGTCTTTTGCAGTGGGCATCAGATCACATATGCAAACAATGGTTTGGATATTCAGCTACAAATTCGATTTTGTGAGACCGAAATGAAATCAACATTAGCACTAGACGGTAATAATGTTGATACCAAAACTGGGTCAAAATATAAAGTTTATAAGCATGAAAAAAACGAACATACAATCAGATGATTTGTCATTAATGTCAGTTAGACATAAAAAAAAAAAAAAAAAAAAGAGAAGGTTTCATGAGATTCAAATGTGGGCGCTCCTGCACCGCCAATTACATGCAAGAATGAGTTCAGCCGTTCAAGGATCCAGCAGCTGTGATGTGAAGCTTGTAAGGAAAGAGGGAGCTGAAGGATCACCAAAAAAAAAAAAAAAAGCTGGAGAATTGTCCCAACACCAGTCTCAGTCCTTCTGCTCTCACTTTGTGTCCTCCTCACTCTGAACATCACTGTCCTCATCATCTTCACTCTCACTGTACTGGTAAGTACAGCGATTGGTGTTCACAAACAAATCATCCTCGTTGTCGCTCGCGCTGGCCTCCTCCTGGTCTTTCTCCTCTGTGTTGTTTTCCTCATCTTTCTGTTGGCCGGGTTTGTTTTCAATCACAAAGCCTTCGGGCCTGGACGGAGACAATTGGGACAATTTCACTAAGCCACGCTGAGGCGAAAAGAAACACCAGTGAGGGCGTGTTGAGGTTGACTTGCCACACACCAGAGGTGATGTTCTTGCAGGTACACGATGTGATCTTTGTAAAGAATTGAGCTGATTTCCGCTTTGACCTTCTCTCCCTCCTCAATAGGATCCACGATCACATAGTCACCTTGATGTGAAGAAACATACAAATGACAACTCTTTGTTTTTACCACTTGGAATGTGTCACGTGTTGCGGAGGACCACTAACTGCCTGTCGTCAAACTCACCTCTCTTGATCCAAATGTTCTTGCGGAACTTTGTGGGCATGCTCACCAAGAATGTCTCGCCCTGAGCTGTGACAGTTTCATGGAGGTTGTTACCACGGCTACCAGTCACCTGCAAGAGACAGAGGGCAAGGGGGGGCATTTGAGGCAGAAAATGACTTCCTGTCTATTATGTTAACATTGATGCATGGGCCAATATCAGAATCTGACAGTATGACAAGTCATGATAAATAAAAATATTGTGGGTTCTCAGTTTATTGCAATTACAGCTCTAAAATAATTTATATTTATAATTAAAAGTTTGAAATGTTTGGGGGGGGGAAAAAAATACTTTTTTTTTTTTTTTTACATTGAACATGTGTTGTCGGTACATTAGCCAATGTAAAAACGAATGAAAATGGAATACAACTGTAAAAGTATTTATTTCTCAGAAAACTAGTCGCTGCACCACTACTTTGTAAAGTAAGAGCAGTCAGAGCAGAAATGAAGTTTTGTTAACTTCGCCATGTAACACATCTTGCAAACCTTCACAATCTGCTGGTTTTCCCCTGGCACAACGAAGTCTCCAAGAACCTCCTTGACGACGTGCTTGCGTTTTGTGGCCTGTGACATGATCAGTGTTCACTTTCCGAGCCAGCTGAGGGAAAGAAAAACAAAGAAACTCTAAACACTTCATTGTGTAGGTATGTAAAAAAATGAAGAAGCGACGGGAATGTTCCTTCTAAATGTGAGGTCTTTCATTGATCGTTGTAAAAAAGAAATAAATAGATCAATAAACGCGCGCTCACTTCAAATCACCTTCTTATATTTACAAGGCATCGATTTCCAGCCACAAAAATCACTTCAGCGGATGTGAAGCTATTGAAAGTCAAGTCTACAGATTCTTTAATATTTGAATGGGAATTGTGGGATTCTATCAACCACGAAAGGAAACTGACCGGTCACATTCATTCGTAAAATACGCACAACAACAACACAGACAGCAATTACACATTTTAATAGTTAAATCATCTTGGAATTACTGTAAACGTCAAAGTATGCCTCATAAATAAGTAAACATCTCAAGATGTATGAATTATAAGATCACTATAAAGAATGGTCTGGATAACATAAATTAAATTGCCAGTAATCATTATGGTGTCAAATTAAGATTATTACAGTAAATATGATGTTAGCTATCTCAATGAGTTTGGCCGAGTTGGCGATAAAGTTGCAAAAGTACCTTGAAATAATGAGTGTTTTTTCAGTATCGAATGTCTTCACGAATCTTGACAGGGTCCAAATGTAACTTAAAAAAATCTAAACTGTTGTACTGAGTTAAATTGAACCACATGCGTTTCTTTCACCGGTCCGCTTCACTTCCGGGACAAAACTCGATACCTTCTTCTTCTTCCTCTTCTTCTTCTTCGGCGTCGTGTCGTCATCGTGGTGGTAGTCTTCTTCTTCGTTTTTATGATGGTTTGCGATCAACGATAAAGGTGCATTACTGACACCTACCACGTTGGAGTTTAGACCGCACTTCTAATTTTGTACGCGTGTATTTGAAATGAGATACCGGTAATAAATAATTTTGGGCGACTTTTTCATTTTGCTCCCCACATCAGAAAACACTAATCCATAATATATACTCCTTTGTTAAAATAGCCTCACTTCTGCAAATGATGAACCACAGAAACAACTTTTTCTATTACTTTGTTAGAACAGAGAATGGCAAAAAAGAGGGGGTGGGGCTTCAATTCATTTTAATTTCACTTTCATTTATTTCCTACCATTTTCCAACAAATAACTTCATATTTACTCAGCCAGTGGTAACAAAATTGAGGGTAGAATTCACAGCACAGTGGTATAAACATGAAAATTAGGTGCTTCAATACGGTACAGAAATTTACTATCGGGGAAAAAAAACCCTCAAAACCAATGCTTGACATAAAAGAAATGAAAAGCACACCTAAAATCTACTGCAAAATATTTTTAAATGTCAATCAATTATTTTCAAGTTCGTAACAGTAGCTTTTCTCATATGCATTTTAATTAAGGAACACTAGTCTGGTTAATATTGTAACATCGGGAGGACATGTGAGTGGGGGAATGTTTTGAGGTTTAGCTCAGATGTGTATGATCACATTATCGCATTGTCTGTATGCTGGGGAGAGCAAGAAAGTGTAAATTTATCAACTTAGTTGACAACAGCAGATGAAGCCATCCTGTTGATTCCGCACGCATTGGAGCCCCTGTATAGGTAGTAGTAACCCTGTGTGAAAGAAAAAGGTCATCATACAACAGATCAAATTTTATTACGCTCATACTGTATTATCATGTTGCCACCCAGAAAGACTGAAAGAAAGGTTTGTCTTTACCTGCTCCCCGTATTCTTCCCCCCAGCTGTTTTTGATGGCCCAAAATGGAATTCCATTACCTGAAAAGAAACAACACTCAATTAGATCAGCTCAATACTCTTTACGTGGAACATCATTATTTAATTCAAGAAATCCAAAATAATAATACAATTCTGCACAGTATCAGTCCAAGTCCTTCCAGAATTCCTCACATCACTTTGAGCCCTATGTGCTGTTGTGTTTCCTGATTTTTTTTTTTTTGTTAATGAGGAATACTGTACCACTGAGGCCACTGAAACATGTTCATGCAGATAAGATGTCCGATATCCTTGCCACTGAGAAACAATTCAACGTCTTAAATTAGGTCTTGAGAAAGATAACACAGCTGCGTTGACAATCTTTATTATTATTTCAATTTGCCGTGGTGCAGAACTGTGCTCAGAGTATTTTATCCCTTTCTGGTTTCACAATGTAACCATCTTGCACATCACATTTGATTGTACTGACGTACCTATTGTTATGTCCAGTGAATGTATGATGTACAGTAAAGATATATTTTGTATCATTATTTTAACACGAAACACATCAACGATGTGTGCCTTAATATTCTTTATGTTGACGATGCCCTGATGAACATCTAAATATCTTCTTTGGAATGAACATAGAGCAAAATAACTCACATTTGTTTTCAATGACACTTACGATGGTTAGCTTGTAGTCAGTCACTTGAACCACAAAACTATCAATTTAAGAAGTGAATAGAATTTCACTTACGGTCTCCATATCCCACCAGAAGCACTGCATGGTCAATCATCCAGGGGTTGCAGAAGATCTTAAAAGGGTGGGACACACCTTTCTTGTAAAACTGCACAATAAGTCCAAAAAAAGGAATTAGACATCCTAATCACTTCTTCTTCAGTTCAGTGAAGTATACACTGACGATTTACTTTACCTGCATGGCAAAAGCATTCAGAGCTACAGAGATGGGGCCATTCTCAGCCAACCAAGCTGCAATTTCTGAGAGGAAGGAAAGTGAAAGGAATACAACATATAAGATTTGTTTTTCTAACATACACTCAAATTCCTAAACAACTATAACCATAATGTTGCCTTTTTTTCAATTTTTCTATGGTCAGGGGACACCTTTGTTTAGATATTTCAGGAATGGGCAGGTTCTTCTTCTTCTTCTTCAAAAAAGTAAATAAATAAAAAAATGAGTGACAGGGTTTTTCCTGCGTTCAAAATTGCGTGGCAGCCGCACCATCCAGACCGATTGAGATTGCTCAACACAGCATCAAGCTCCAACTGTACTGAATGAGCGTTTGATGTTCCTTTGCGGCAGGAACATATTTTAACTGCAGTTGCAGGGTTACACTCAATTTGAGGCAGGAAAAACCCTGAGTGAGTTGATTTTTATGAAAAAAAAAAAAGATAAAATGAGTTCATTTACTTAATGTTGGTTTCTTGTTCAGCAGTTTTGTGCCATCTTTGAGTGGTCATTTTTTCAAGCAAGAGAGTACAGTCCCATTTTTTGTTGTATTAGGAAAGTGAATCTTTGATACACGCATTGAAAAATGTATTATCACAAATGAAATATATGAAGAGTACATATGCATGTATTTTCTCCAATTCAGTTTTTGTCATGCGTCTACTTAGGAAATGCGTGGTCCTATGTGGCCCCCAATAGCCATGATGGAAAATTGCTCACCCCTGATAAATTTGCTTGGTGTGGTTCATTTTCAGATTTAAATGCCTCCTTGTGTAACTTAGACATTTGACATTTTGCACCCTATTTCCTCTTTGGCCTCACCATTTTCATCTTTGGACAGCTCCACAGAGCTGTTGATGTAGGCGACTACCTTCCTGCTGGTGAAGTCACACCTCTGCTTATGGCCAGTATAGGAATAGTCTCTCTCCAACTCCAGACCGCCTTAGCCACACATGCAGGAGAGCCACAATTATATACACTGGCAACATGATGCGTTGTTACAGCACAAAGCTCCGTCTTGTGGGAATTACCAAGATTCTCAATTGCTTCATAAGCATTTGATGGCAACCCGCCTCTGCATGCCTGGTCCAGCCCATCACAGTCAACCAGCTCTAAACACCCCCGAAAACAAAAAAACAACGATCAACTCATGCTTGTAATTAATTCAAAGCAAACACCTTTCATCTAAACATTACCTTGTTCAGACAATGACTGCAAAGTTCCGTTTTTCAGAAACCACTGCCCCTCAATGTTACCTGTGACAGAAAATGCCCAGCAAGATCCACACATACCCTAGCACACACACACACACACACACACACACACACACACACACACACACACACACACACACACACACACACACACACACACACACACACACACACACACACACACAGACAGTAGGGAACGTAAATGATGTTAATGAATGATAGCTTATTTATTTGTAAATTGCTATTTAGTGCAACTCCTGCTGAGGTGGTACCTGGTTCTTAACAGGACTAACAGCACCATGATCCCTCCAATCCCAGCTGGCAGGGGCGGGGCTTCGGGCGGAGGGGGCCAATTTCATTGGTCTCTGAAGAGTCCACTGGCTCAGCAGTGGGTTCAGGTAGGTCGAGCGAAACTCTTCCTCTATAAGCAAAGGGAAAGAAAGCAGTTAACAGATGACTGGATCAACAAACAAAACTTAAGAATATTTTATGTCTAGAAACAATGAGGCAGTGTACACTAACTTAGGTATACGCACCAGTGAGGTCACTGAACTTGGTGATGCCATACTCTGCAGATCCTTGATCCAAAGACTGGATTCTTGCCGCCGTCTTAACGTTCTCATGGAAGATCTGCAAGCGGCGGTCAACTTCTACAGAGACAAATAAAGCATACAAATAAAAGCACATTGTGTATACTTCAGAAAACTGAATTAGTTACATGAAATCCCAATGAGCATGTGGGCAGGTAAAGTTGACTTTATTTGTTTTGCTTGTGCAGTATGTTTAAAAAAGAAAAACAATATCACAAGATACTAAACATTTATGTCCTGTGTTTGTTGACTGCATTGTCATGTCCACTAGAAGCTCATGTCACAATTTATAAACATGATTTGACATTTTTCATGATTGAATAGCATCTGATTAGCTGCAGGACAAATGGATGAAACTGTCAATTGCACAGTGGCATATTAAGGCGAGGTCGTTTTTTTTTTTCTGCCTCACCACATTCTACAGTACATATGCAGCATAAGACACGTGAAATGTACAGGATATACATACTCACCCTCCTGTGTGCTATAGGCTTTATTGTATTTAACCATGAAGTCTTTGAAAAGGTTCAGCAGCTCCACAGACTCCTGGTAAATAAAGAACAGGCCAACACACACGCTCAACAAGGCAAATCTTATCCTTAGGTGCAACTTGATTGGAAATATTTACTGACTATTTATTGTACTTAACATCCACATGGTAAGATTGTCAACTGATTACAGCATTTTCACCTCAGGGGAAGCGTCCTCAACAGTGGTTGTTTCTTCCGGTAAAGCTGGTGAGAAAATAGTTAAGGTAAATAATTGTTAATATACAGTAATTTACAAAATTCTTTGCCCATGATCGGATTTGTTGTTTTAGCAATGTTAGCTTGTAGCAGACATGTGCACATTTCAGCATGACGTCTTTGATCCACTGGTGAAAAGGACACTTTGATTCGCTCCTCTTTCTTCTATAACTGCTAAAAACAACAAAGTGTATGCAGGAAAGTGGTTCAGATTGCACGGTTGTCTGTGTCTTATGTGTTGTATTGTATTGTATTATTTTGTCATTTTATGTTAACTGCTCTTTTGATGGCGGCGCGGGCACCCGCAGCGGCTCCTCTTGTTGTCTCGTTGTCTGGTTGAGAGGGAAGAAATTTCATCTGTGCTGTATGTTGCACATACAGCGCATTTGACAATAAACTTGTACTTGACTTGACTATAATGAAGTATAGATAACTTGAAATCATAGTGCGCTTTAGGATGAACTGTTAACAACAACGAAAAATTGCACTGCAAAAATTGCATTCTGGAAATTGAAAAGGAAAGTACATTTTTTTTAACAATCACGAAAATCTGTGTACAATTGATATCTATTGAAATGCTCTGTGGGGAAAAAAATAATGTAATTTAATGCATCGTATCATTTAAAAAAAAAAATAATCGTACAATTAATCGTTAATCAGTATTTTTTTTCTCTGCCAAAAATCAGCATTGGCCCCCCCAAAAAATTAATATCGGTCAGGCCCTAATAAATTACACACTTCCTGATTCAGGAAGATGGAGAAATTTGGAGGCTAGATAGGTCCATTAATTAATGCCAAAGTGACTTGAACTGTGAACATTTATTTTTCAAATCTTTTTTTCCTGAGCCATTTGTTATTCTATTTTTAGTATGATCCTGCAACACATATCGGTCCTACTACGTATCATTAAACACAAAAAGGGTTGATAGTGGCCTGACACTTTTGCACAGTAAACTGTAGAACTGGACATAAGGTCTGGCTTCGACAAATACCGGTAGATCCATCCATCCATTCATTCATTATCTGAACCGCTTTATCATCACAAGGGCAGCGGGGCATGCTGGAGCCTATCCCAGCTGTCTTCGGGCAGTAGGCGGGGGACACCCTGAACCTATCCCTGCTGACTTCGTGCCATAGGCAGGGTACACTCTGAACTGGTTGCCAGACAATCGCAGGGCACACAGAGACCAACAACCATCCGCGCTCACGCTCACGCCTAGGGACAATTTGAAGTGTTCATCCAGCACAGCATGCAAACTCCACATAGGAAGGCCGGAGCTGGGATTGAACCCACGAACTCTGCACTGTGAGGTCGACGTGCTAACCACTCAACCAGCGGGCCGCTACCAGAGAGCTGTTAATATATAATCAGGAATAGAAGAAAATGTACATCATACTCCACGTGCCTTGCCGGTGTAAACTTTAACTCTATGTGGCCTTGACATACCGGTTAAGGGCTTTGTAAAAACTAACAATTATGTCATGATGGGTTATGGAAAGTCCGACTTTTTTTTTTTTTTTTTTGCGACATCTACTTCAAGCAATGCTGCAAAGTATCAAAAATGAAAGGAATTTCTCTCCTCCTGAGAGAAATGGGAATGGCCATTGTTGACCAGACGGAAATATCAACGTTGTGTTTTTTAAATGTATGTTGATGCCTGCTTCGGCAATATTAGCTCAAGATTTGACTTACCTTTTGGTTGGCACTTCTGTTTGAGCAAATTCAAGGTTGACTGCCAGGGGATGTCCCAGATTTCAAACACACAAATCTCGGTCTGGCAAAAACACACACACACACACACACACACACACACACACACACGCACACCCAGGGCGAGGTATCAGAAATGTTTTAAAACAAATGTGCATTCAGAACTCCTTTAAATTGTTTCCTTAAACTGGTCACTGGTGGAATGCCAACATGTGCATGATGCTATTTTCTATGCTAGCGGAGTTGTGAAAACAATGAAAGGCTGAAAATAAAATAGCTGAGTGTGCACGTCTGTGGTGTCATGCGATCTGATGACCAGAAACGACTCTGCTGAACCTTTTTTTTTTCCCAACAAAAACAAGGCAGCCTACCTTGAGCTGTTGTAGTTCGGGATAGAAGTCACAAGTCCGGAGCATGGTGGATTTCTTACATTGAGTATTACTCATCTCCACTGTTATAGTGTAGCGGATACCCTTAACCAGCTGGAAAACAAAAAGATACAGTGTTGATGTTGATGTTGATTTAACAAAGCACATCAATCACTATCAATCAACATTATTCTGATACTGTACATGGTTACACAAAAGGATATTTGGGCCCCACAGAAAAAAACAACAGGATAATTTGTAATCCTATAAGAAAAAAACGGATCTTTGGTAAACAAAGACATGCAATTGGTTTCTTATGGAATTGGGTGCTTTTATCTGAATTTGACCAGTCAGACACAAACTTAAATGTGCATCACCATCTAATAGTTGAACATTGTCGAGGGTAATTTCAATTAATAAGATCAGAAAACACTGAGCTCGCTTATTTTGCTGCATGAAAAAAAATGTAATTCTTTCAATAGATAATAAAAATGTAATTTCTTTAGGCACATATTACATATCGCAATAATATCTATCACTATATTCAACAACCATATTGCATGTTTTACCTATTCACAATCAGATTTTAATCTTGAAAATAAACAATTGTATTGTAGAAAAAAATATGTACTTTATTTGAAAACGTGTGACCTTTTACATCACGAGAATGTGATAATTTATTCTCAACAGATTCAGATTTGAATCTCTTAGTGAACATTTTTCTTCGTTACAGGTTGGCCCTAATTCCTTTCTCGTTTATGCGTGTAATTGTGGACTATTCCTGTTGGACAGCTGCAGCAGGAGGCGTCTTTCTATTGCTGTTGTTGAATTTATCTGTCACACGTGATCCCAGCATGACAAAAAAATCGTTCGCTAACTGTCAATCAATGATAGTTACGCAATTTCCGGTTCAGAAAAAAACAAAAACAAAAAAAAAACAATGGCTCGAAAATGCTTAAGATGTCATAAATCCAATGGTGTTAACATTACTTTTGTAAATAAATATTTTTCCTCTTAAGATTGCATTTAGGTGAATGATCGGCGAGCGCAAACCAGTCCATTTGTGTTATAAAAGGACAGTATTGTGCAGCGAGCGACTTTAGATTAAGCCTATTACAAGCATGACGCAGTTTTAAATCCCTGTAACAGACACATCTTGGAATAATATCAAGAAATAGATATGCGATGTATACTAGTATGTCGTCCTTTTCACCTATACTGTACCTGTTTGGTGGCGGAGATGAGTCGGCTGACTTTGCGGAGGTGCATCGCGTTGGAGCCCAAGTTGTAACGCTCCTGAGCGAAATGCAGCGCCTTTTTCAGACCCGGGTCGGAGTCTATCACTCGGATGGCCGAGCCCGGAGGACCGAACAAGGGCCGGTCCATGTCCTCATCGAGCCCCAGCGCGGCGCCCAGTACGGCAGCCAAGGCCACACAGACAAAGATCTGACACCCCATCGCCATGACGTTCTAAAAGAAAAAAGAGGCTGTGCTTGCAGTTCGTTCAGCTATAAAGCGGCCAGATTGGCTTCCTGCCAAAGAAAAAAACAAAAAAAAATTGAAGAGAAGCTGTTGCCAAACAAATTCGGGGACGGCCTTGTCTGTGGGAGGAGCCAGTGGTGTCAGCGTCGGACTGCCCTTCAAGACGCTCAGTACAGTAGTGTGGGCAGTACACACCACTAATTTATGCGCACAAATTCAGCAACTTAGCGAACGAGACATTCCTAAATTATTAAAATCGTAATTCAATGAGTGCATAATATTGAAAAAAAGTTAACGTAAAACTGATAAACTGATTGTTTTTGAAAAATAAACACACCGACCTTGCATTATCATTATTATTATTATTATTATTATTATTATACTGTATTAGTGGTAGTAATAGTAGTAGTCGTAGTACTAGTGTAATACTGTATACAGTACTGGAACGGTCAAGTACTGTTGCCAACACGTGCTCCAGCACGTGAACACATACTTATTCAACATCGTAGCTTTTTAACATTATGATGAATCACATAAAATAACCCGAGCAAAATTATTATTGGTGTCACATGTCAACTCATGAGCAATAAAATAATATTATATGCTGAGCATAAATACAAAAATAAGGTCCTCTATCCCAATAATATAGGAATATAGGTATGAAAGACCCCCCTCGCTCCCTAAAATACCGCCCCCCCCCAAAAAAAAACCCTACAACTTTGTAAGGTATAAAATAAGTCGATTGATGGAATTAATCGTCATTGTATGTATGGGTGACGAATGCCCACAAGAGGACGACACTCGTACGAATGGAGTTTTATTTCGAAAGTAATGGTCTAATAAAGGTTCAGTGCAAATACTTATTTATAATAATTAATGAACCCAAACAAACCGCATTGAAATTCACGCATTTTTGACAGTTGCGCGTTGATTCAAGTGTGTTGTGGCATGTGGGGTAAACAAGTTAATTGCCATAAAAATGACCGATTAATATAGCTTTATTCGATTATTAACTTAAGTCATATATTCTTCAGGATCCACGGGGCGTTTATTATGTTTTTTTGGTGTCCTTTTATTTTTGCAGAATTTGTCCCGGAAGTGATTCAGCTAAGGTTATTGGAGCGAATACTTAGCAGCACTGCTAACAAAACCGAATTTTTAGCTAACTCGTAAACTTGCACTTGGGGTTTTATAAGAGGTTTCAGTCCACGTTTCGTCACATCCTGGAGTGAACAATAACTTTCACACAGGTTTGCTTGCTGCGTGTCCTTAGAATGACACGTTTGTTGCTCTGAACGTGATGACCGATTTATTTTTAAAGAGAAGGATCTGGTTGTTGATTTTATAGCATCGTTCTCTTGAGTTAACATTTGACGTGACAGACATGGAGACTCCGGTTATTGAAGATATGATCGACTTTCGCCGGTAAGTTATTGAAGGGATCGATCTTATATAACGCTAGCTGCGACATTCCGCCCCACAGATTTGTAATTGGCCAGAGTATCGCTAATTACCTTTGCAGTGATATCTTCTTGAGCTCACTAGACTCGAAATCTATTAGCAGGGTCTCATTTCAAGTTGAGCTAATGCTTCGAAATGAATGTTTATGATCCAACGTGTTTAAAGTATTCCGCTTAAGAAACATGCACGTATTGCTCCATGTCGAAAGTTAAAGCTGCTAACTGGTTGAAGTGACAGTTCGACTCAAGCCATTACGTCGTACTCGTACTGTAACAGTTGATATAAAATGACAGTAATTGTTTTCCAGGTCGACTCAAGCCATTACGTAGTGCTCGTACTGTAACAGTTGATATAAAATGACAGTAATTGTTTTCCATTTGACTTCAGTCTTCTCCGTGATCCGGTTCGTGAACATTCTATGCCATTTCTCATGTTGTCTTCCATATAATTCCCATTTATTCTACACAGGTTACCCAAAGACACACTTGTGTTCCTGCTGTTGGTGATTTACTTTCCAGTTGGTGTTTGTTTGATGTTATTACGGATTTTTATTGGTGTCCATGTATTCTTGGTCAGCTGTGCACTACCTGAAAGTTTTCTAAGAAGGTAGGTAACTATAAATGTACTGTCTTGTATGGCAAACTTTGATTGTTCAAAATGTTGGCACAGTATGTGAATGTACTTGCTCACTCCTAGCCATGCTGTGGTGAGTGTTTAATATCAAATTGTTTTCTTTTCAAGTTATCTTGAATACCACAGCTTTATTGCCCAAATTGCATTTCCCTACACCAAGTTGCTGTGAGATTATGAGTTGTTGTTTGTCTACAATGTTTAGTTTTCTGTGTACTACATAACCTCTGCAATCAAATAGTCAATGACTTGCTGTCAAACAAAAGAGCGCAACCTTGTTGAACTAATGTTTTAAATCTGTATTTATGTTTTTGAGAGGTCACCATTTGTCTTTCTTTGTCTTAACAGATTCATTGTGAGGGTTATGTGCTCAGTCTTGGGAATGCATGTGAGGCAGCAAAATCCTCGATCCAGAGACAAAAACACCAAACTTTACATATGCAATCATGTGACAGAATTTGATCACAACATAATCAACCTCCTGACCCCCTGCTGCACTGTGAGTCAGGCTGTCATTCTTTGCTTGTACTCAATGTTTTTACTGAATGTTCACAGGCGCCTCTGGCGTGGAACACAATACTCAAAAGTGCTGTATCATTTGCCGTTCGATTGTTGTCGTCATCGTACTTTTCCTCTTCAACATCACTGTTTGACGATTGAAATTTTGTGTGACTGTGGCATGAATTTAATCTGTCAAATGAATAACATTTAGTACAGCGGTAAATTAGTGGGCCTTTTCATGCCGTGTGACAATACAATGCTTTTCCTTAGTGAGTAACCTCGCATCCCCATAATTCTTGACTGTAAACCGAGGACTCCCTGCACTTCATTCACTGCTGAAAATGAATGAATTTTGAAAAACTGTCACCTGAGTAATCTGTGTCATTTGTTCACTAGCCGCAGTTTGAGGGCTCCACCGGTTTTGTATGTTGGGCCAGAGGCTTCATGGAAGTGCACTCTGCGCTTGGCAGGGGAGCGATAGGAGAGTCGCTTCAGAGGTACTGCTCCACCGAAGGTGCCTCACCGTTGCTGCTGCTGCCTGAAGAGGATACCACAAATGGACGTGCTGGCTTGTTAAAGTTCAGGTTAGTGTAGCTATGTAAAGGCTCTTTGTTTTCAGATTATAATCAGCTTGCGATGCACAGGAGTATAGATTTATTGTCAACATAGTTCACTGGATTTATTGTCAACATAGTTCACACACAAAATATTGACACTTTGTCCACAATTTGGACACTGTCACAAAGGGGTCTGCTCACTTTTGTTGCAAGTGGTCTAGACATTATGGCTGAGCGTTGATGAGCTTACACCGTAATGAAGTGTCATTTCCTTTGTGTCGTCCCATGGAAAGAAGTAATAAAATGTGAGCTTGCTCATTCGTAGTAGTGCACGCATTAACAACCGTTCACATTCACATGATTGTATTTGTAATTATTTTTGATGATGGTAATACAGGGATCTTTTTTGACAGCATGCACATTCTAACTAATGTATCTGTGTTTTTCCCTTCTCAGTTCTTGGCCCTTTTCTCTGACAGACTCAATTCAACCAGTGGCTCTGAGAGTTGCAAGACCTCTCATTGCTTTGGTAATAATATTTTTCTGGACATTTATTGGCTTAAATGTGCAGAAATGTTACATATTGTCACCCGAAGAATGGCCTCTGCCATTTTGATCAGTTCTTTTCAGAAAACACCAAATACTGAAGTTATAATATTTATTACTAATTTCAGGGGTAGAATTGAATAATCTGTTTAACTAAGGATGTAACCAAGTTTAGCAGAATGTGGTCACCATCATGACAACATTTCTAAAGCAGCTATTTTTTTGTCGAAATATGATTTAGGCACAAAAGTCAACTGGTTAGCACGTCGGCCTCACAATGCAGAGGTGTAGGGTTCGATTCCGGCTCCGGCCTTCCTATGTCGAGTTTGCATGTACTCCCCGTGCCTGCGTGGGTTTTCTTCGGGTACTTGGATTTCCTTCCATGTTCCACAAACATGCATGCCAGGTTAATAGAATACTCTAAATTGTCCCTAGGTGTGATTGTGAGAGCGAATGCTTGTTTGTCCACGTGTGTCCTGTGATTGTCTGGCAACCAGTTCAGAGTGTACCCTGCCTATGGCACGAAGTCAGCAGGGATAGGCTCCAGCATGCCCGCGACCCTCGTGAGGATAAACAGCTTAGAAAATGGATGGATGATTTAGGCCAGGGGTGCCCATTATGTCGATCGCGATCGACCGGTAGATCGTGGACTGGTCCCGATCGCGAGAGGGGTGTAGAGCAGGGGTCCCCAACCGCCGGTCCGGCGGAGCGCGGGCGCACCGCGC